CTTTCAACATTGTTCAATAAATTTCGTTCAGGACTGTGCGCAAAATATAAGGAAGAGCATCATATGAAATATCTGCAAATTTGTTGCATCTTGTGTGCCAAAAGAACATTGGAAGTTACAATATAAACAATGAAAATAAATTATGCATTATTTATCAGTGCTAATTCAACCTTTTTTTTTTAAAGCTATCAAAATGTGTCCTGTGTGGGAAGTCACATGATCAATCAGGCAGATTTTTGTATATCACATGTATGATAAGTGTACATGATGATTGATTGATTGTTGGTTGATTAATGTCAAGTGGCAAATGTTTCATGCATGTTCAGGACGATTTGAAACATGAAAATTTATAATAGACGTATTTACACTTGTTCACGCCCCACACGTTCGACCCCTGGGTTAATTTCACCCTAAACGTTATAAGAATCCAATTTTTATTCAAATATCCTACTATTGTCTGTAATCGGTCATAATGTCAGTTCGTTCGGTTATTTTGGTTGTATTTATCTCTGACGTCACTTTCGATTTCACAGCATACTAGAATAAAAGCTACACTTGAAATATATTCGTTTGATAAACATGAGATTCCTAAAGGTATGTATGATTAAAAATAAATAATTATTTCTTAAAAGTGCCATTTTCTTTAACCTCTTTTCAAAACAATTATCAAGAGGTCTAATCGGTCATAATGTCAGTTCGTTCGGTTATTTTGGTTGTATTTATCTCTGACGTCACTTTCGATTTCACAGCATACTAGAGTAAAAGCTACACTTGAAATATATTCGTTTGATAAACATGAGATTCCTAAAGGTATGTATGATTAAAAATAAATAATTATTTCTTAAAAGTGCCATTTTCTTTAACCTCTTTTCAAAACAATTATCAAGAGGTCTAAAAACGTATTTATATTGAGAAACAAACCGAGTCTCGGCATCCAAATTTTTGTTTACATATTTTTCAAGGTCACAACTCATATCCGTTTCCTGTAAGGCCAACCAAATTTTTTTTTACGATTTTTGAATATACGTGTAGCGAGCACCTTGCTTTTTTCATTAAAATAATTTTACGGGAAAATATGTCAAACTAAGATGAGAAAATCACAAATTACAACAAAAAAAATGGTGGAAAGTGCAATGAAAACTAACATATAAATACATAAAAACAGGAAACAACAGCTGGTAAATCATAGATACAAAGTAGACAATACTTCAATCACAAAAATAAATGCATTTAAAACAATTCCTTTGGTTTTATAAAGTAAATTTTAGCTAGATACATATCAAATGTTTTACTGATTTTTTTTCTTCTTTCTGTTTTTTAAACACAAATGGGTCAGTATAAATAATAACTTTTTGTATTATATTTGTAGATAAATCAAGTTCACCTGCCAGGTGGATTTTGATTTGATTTGATTTTTGGTGTTTTAACAGTTTAAAGCCACTTTTACATGTTTTAAGCACCGCTTTTGGGCTATTTCCTGGCGGCCAGTTTTATAGGTGGAGGAAGCCAGAGTGCCCGGAGAAAACCACTGACCTTCGATAGGAAAACTGGCAATCCTAGTCAATTAAGATTGGAGTCGAGTGCACCTGCACATGCGGGGTTCGAACTCACAACCTCAGTGTTGACTGGCTAGTGATTACAGTAGTAACTACTTAGACCACTCGGCCACCGAGGCCCCTCTCTGCCAGGTGGAAAAACCAAGTATAGGACGTATAGTCCATCAGCATTGACAAGAGCTTATTCAGCTGTACATGATGACAAGCTTTCTATCCGTAGAGCTGTACAGTCTTATGGTGTACCATTTCAAACTCTTAGGTATAGGGTATCTGGAAATGTAGATCCTGAGTGTTGTACTATGGGCAATGCACCTTTTTTTACCTTAGATGAAGAAAGCTGGTTGGTGACTCATTTGAAGGAAATGGCTCAACTTGGATATGGATATAATCGACAGGAAGTTGTGGACATAGCAACTGACTATGCAGTTATGCTTGATAAGAAAACTAAAAATGATAAACCCTAAGTCTTGCCTGGTTCTACGGGATGCTTGGATGATGGCCAGATCTCAAAGTTGTAAAACCAAGGGCATTGGAAGTTGCAAGAGGAAAAGCTGCCAACAAGGAGAACATTACTAAATACTTTAATGAACTTTAGAAAGCCCTACTTAAATATAATCTAATGGACAAACCTCATTTGATTTACAATGTTGATGAGAAGGGTGTAACCATCAACCACAACCCATCGCGAGTAGTGTCAGGAGTGGAGACATCACCGCAGGAGGTTACATCTGGAAAGGGTGACACTGTAACTATCTTGGTGTATGGAAATGCAATAGGCAATGCATTGCCCCCTTGCTTTGTCTTCCCAGGGCAGAGATTAAATGACCAGTAAATATTTTAATTTTTAGTGGGAACTTGGGAATTCCTGAAACTTTGCGCAGAAACTACATGACATAGTGCTAGCTTTGATAACTAATTTTCGAATTAAATTGATACATTTTTCATCAACCATGGTAAATCAATGAGACAAGGCTTTTAAAGGATAAACTTAGCTGGAATAACAAGGCTTAGTTATTAAAGGCATGCAACTTATTATATGAGACACTTGGGAATTACTGGGAAGCTTGCGCAGAACCTCATTACATGCTCTGATCATTAATTCTTACAATAAATTAAAATATATTGTGATTAAGCATGATGTATGTCTGAGCAAAGGCTTTGAAGTGATGTAGAGAAGCTGTAATAACACCCTTTAGTTATTACAGACATATTTTTTCTGTAATAACATAGGTGTACTATGTATGATTGGCAAACTATGAACTGTTATATCTTTCTATAGTTTAGTATACATAAAGACAATAATAATATCAATAGAACTTGTATACATTTTAACAAAACAAATGTTGTATATCATGTATATTGGCCCTTTGGAACATGTAACATACATATGTTATCACAGTTCTTTGATTTTTTAGTCCACAATAACAAATGTATGTTATTTTTCTCTAATAACCCTATAGAGTTATATCCTTGACTGGTTATGGTCCTCTGCAAAATATCTACAACAGCCTTTGTCATAGAACTATCAGAACAAAACAATGTGCACTGATTCGTTATGATGTTTGCAGCATGGCATGCAAAGCTTACGGAAATGCCTTATCAGTCAATAATTTGCAGTCAGTATTTAGAAAAACTGGAACTTATCCATTCACAAAAGACATAATCAATGATTTACCACTGACACCATCAGAAGCTTTCATAAGTGAAATTGAAAACCATTCTGAGGACATTGTTGAAACTGTAGAAGCTGTTAATAGTGAGGTAGTTGGAAGAGAGAATGGGAATGAAAGTGTTGTGAGTGATAGAGAGGTAGTTGAGAGTGATAAGGAGAATGAGGGTGTTGTGAGTGATGGAGAGATTGGTTTTGAGGTAGGAGGGAGAGCATATGGGAATAAATGTGCTGTGAGTGGTAGAATCATAGATAGTGAGCTCGATGTAGTTGGAAGAGGGACTGGTAGTGATTTTTTTTGTAAAGAAAGTGGTAGAAATGAAGAGAGTAAAAGGAGAGAAGAAAAAGAAGAGGAATGTTTTAAGTGGAATTATCAGTGGAAAGCCAGTGACAGAGGATGATGTGATAGAGAGGGTGATAGAGCATGTAAGCAATTATCCTGGGAAGAAAGTAAGTAGTATTGTGAGTGACAGCTGTGTGAAAGGAAGTAAGAAAGGCCAGAATGGATTAGTGGGATGCAAGAGGAAGGGAGAGCAAGGGAAGAAAAATAATGTGAAATTGATCAAGAGTGACACGGGTGATTCTCAGAAGCCAGGAACGAGTGGAGTAAGAACTAAGTATGTAAGTGAGTGCACGATAGATAGCGAGAGTGAGAGTGAGAGTGAGTCAGAAATAAGAGAGGATGAAAAGGGTTGTGTTTGCAAGAAGTTTGTTCCGGAGCAGGTGAGAATGAGTACTAAGTTTAATCCTTACCAAGTGGGCGCAATGTGAGTGATGGGTGCATCTAATTTATTGTACAAAAGTGTGAGTTATAAGAAGGGGTAACAGTTTCTTGTGTGTGTTTTGTGAGAAAGGTGTGGAATAGTTGGTTAATAAAAATAAAAATCATTTTCTAACTCATTATTCTACTCATTTAACAAAGAAAATGCATTTGGATTTTAATGCAAAAAAATCACCACTGGTGAACTTACTGAAAATTTCCATTGATTTCAAATTCCATGGTCATGGTGGTAATCATGGTAATAAATGATGTTTCTGGTTAAATCAATTCCCAATTCATTGCAAACAGTTTCAAAGAACTATCATACAAACAAATAACACAATTGCCTCAGTCTAAAAAATCACCTAAATAGCCCTGGAGCAATTTTATTTGTCTGGACAATCCAATGTGTCACATGGTTTTGACGAAATTAGAATTTGAAGGTAAACAAACAGGGTCAGCTGCTTGAGTTTGTAACAACATCATACATGATTCAGTGATTGAGAAACAATTTTAAGAAACCAAGCTTGACAATAAACGGTAAAAAAGACACAAAGCTAAGACTGCAGAAAAATAAAATAAAAAATGTCCTTAAGTCATTTGTAAGTGACCGGAGTACCATCATTATGGGATACAGTTTGAATTATCAGATTTTTTTTAAAGATGTATATACATGATATATCAATATATATTTTCATGAATAAAAATTCGTGAATCTTTTAAATGAAATGTTTTAGTTGTGATTAGATGGTTAATTGATTATTAAATGTTAATTAAATTAACATTTAATAATCAATAATATTAACAATTACTGTTAATTGGTCTTTATAAAGCTAATTTGGTATTATTGTTATGTGTTGGAAAATCATGATAGTGCTAGCTTAGATGTACAGTGTAGTTACTTAATACTTGTGTGCTTGTTTTGATTTGGAATCAAATGTATGCAAATAATTATTTATAAGGACTTCGTCCTCATTCACAGGTAACACTTGTCTCATGTTATGATAAGTCTTACATTCCAGATCGGCTAAGTGCACTTTCGGTTTGCATCGCCATGTTGTCGTCAATAAATAACTTTATTCGTACACCTCTGTTATTTTTTCATAGAATAGTATCAAAAGTCTTGAAACATTATTTCAACCCGAACGTTAACTGTGTTCGATTGAAAGATTTTATTTCTTCTTAAAAAAAACGGAATTATAGTCTTTTACTTGGTTGAAATATGAATGATAAATATAAATAATACTAAAAATAGTTGTCTGCAAAGCTAATGATAATAGAATATATGCTGCCACATAAAAGCATATATCCCGGATATACAATACAAATCAAGCGCACCTCATTATGTTTTGGTTATGTCCCCTTTTATGCAGAACTGCGAGAAATGAAAGTTTATTTTTTGGATTAATAAGGTATTGACTAACATTTTTTTGTTGTTGTTTGCATTTTACAGAAATAACCTATGTTATATATCCTTAATTTAACCGTTTTTTTTTATCCCTATTCTGGTTGTCAAAAATAAGTGCGGAAAGAAAAAGGGGGAGGAAGTCACCAAAAACGCACGAGAAACTACAAATTATTCACGAATGCAGGACAACTCGGCACTGAGACAACATTTCGGACCGACTAATAAGTCAACTCGGACCATCTATATAGTCAACTCGAACCGTCTATATAGTCAACTCTAGTCCAAATAATTATGACGTCTTGCAAGGCTATTTTAATTTTTTGTTCTGTGACGCCGTCGTAGGAAGGCGTCACAGAAAAAAATTAAAATAGCCTTGGAAGACATCATAATTATTTGGACTTAGTTAACTCGGAATGTCTATAAAGTCAACTCGGACTTCTAAAAAAACAACTCAGACGAAGCATTATTATTATTAAGGTTCATCATAACAAATGGATAAAAATGGCTGTGTTTACACTGGGACATCATATATTGACGGGACTTGACACTAGTATTGATTACATTTAGAATTACTGATATGATACAGAAACAGAGATGTGTCAAATTACGTATATGAGGTTAGGAATGCTCTTTATCGTCAGGCATCAAACGGTAATTTTCGACTACCGTTAGCGTCAAATTGGTTAAAATTTTACCGTGATTCGTCAAAAATCCTTATCGTGATTCCTCAGAGGTCTCAAATAATTATTGTTACCGTTATTTTTGGAAAAAAATGAACGTGATTCGTCAAAATCAGTCGATTATTTTATCATCTAAAAGTAAGTGTACATTTAATTGTCATGCACCAAAAATTACCGTTAACGTCATTTGGCAAGAATTTTTACGGTTATTCGTTTTTGAAGGTACCCCCATTACGACCCTCGTATATGTACTCGCTATTTTCATGATTATTGACGATAACATTTCATTAAATATTATTTGTGTTGATCACAAATTGTTTTCTTAGTAGAAAATTATTATTATAATTATTATACATTTAAATACTGATCAAAGGTAACTGTTTTTCATTTATTTTCTTAAAGTCTTTTATTTTGTTCAAAGACATAGATACATACATCATGTACATGTCTCTGATTTGTCTGATACATTATTTACGGTATCTGGATGATTCGTTCCAACTCTGATTCGTACCAACCAATTCATCCCAAGTTGCTTGGTCAATTCGTTCCAACTTTAAACATGTTAAATAGAACGGTGTTTAACCATATGAATTATTAAAATACATCTTATTTTATTTATGTTTAGTGTTGTACCTATTTAATTTTATATATATATATGTATAAAAATATTCATTTAAAATTTATTTCTATGGTTTATTCTAGAAATGATATATTGACAGTTAACAATTTATTGAAGTTTCGTGACACTTTAAAATAAAAAAAAACTACCAACTAATTTTATTTTCAAAGAAATCATTATTTCATTATCATGATTATAAAGGCTCATGTATTTTAATGCATTGTTATGATTGTGTACATGTACTATGCACATGAAAAGTCTGTTATGCATTCATCAAGAGATTAAACCCGTACTCAGCTTGGGTCACAAATGCATGTAAATAATAATTGAAACCATACCAACTTATCAAGGGGCTAATGACATTTGCGCCGATTTAAAAAATTTCGATCTTTCATTTGCGCCATTTTGATTCTTTCATTTGCGCCGATTGTGTACAGGGAAATTACAGGTGTATGTTATTCAGGGCCTAATCTAGGATTTTGGAGAGGGAGAAGTGACTTCTCCTTCCATGAGAGAGAAGGGAGAAGTGGTCAATTTCTTGGAGAAGTGAGATTCCATTACCGTTTCGGTTGCATAGTGTTCTCGTGCTTATCACTAAGGAAATTGTTTTATATGCAATAAAAAATATACAGTTTTTTCATATTATTGTACAAAATGTATATATAGAAAGTTCTTAATAAAAAGGTTTAACCTGGAACGAATTGACTAGCATTCATATTTACTCTTTGATTTTGCATGTACAGCAGAGAATATTCCTCCTGTGTTAAAATAATGTTAAAAATTAATTCCAAAATAATAAAATAGACAATAAGACAGAAACTAAAGTTTATGTTATCAGTGAAAAGCAATTGCAATTATAATTTTCTTTTTTATTTGTTTTTATTTTCTAATTATCAACTAAGACATACAATAAAAAAACAATTAAATTAAAAAATATATAATATCACCTTATGTCCTGTGACTTTCTGTCTAATAAGTTTGTATTTTTTTGTTGTTGTTGCAAGAATTTTATTCTTCTGTAAAAAATTATTCATTGACACAAATGATTGAGGAAACAAGTTATGCTAATTCAGACCTTCAAACTATCCCAACTTATGGGGGTTTCATTTTTCGATTCTATTTCATTAATCACACATTTGTGGATTTCAGCAAGTCAGTATATCAGCTCACTCCTTAGTCAATGTTAGTTACAACATAGCCTGATAGCAATTGGGAATTTGATGGTGAATAGAAGCCAATGAAAAAAAATGTAACTTAAAAATTGCAAATGTTAGGATTGAGAATTAAAAGGATTAAGCACATTTTTTCTAGAGGTTATTTAACATGTTTAAGAAATAATTCATGCAAGCCATAATTTTTTTTGTCATTTTCACATGGCCACACGTATTTGCTAATTTTATTCCACAATAACGCTTGAGAGAAAAATTGAATATAAAGTCTGCCATGGTCATGTGAAAATTTCAAACATCTATCTGATTCTAAGTACAACATTGTTTTTGGAAGGTAAGCCCAGAGCTTTATTGAAATCTGGTATCAAGCTTCGTGTGAGCATAAACAGTCAGGGGACTTATTGAAATAAGTGATTTTCAAATCACTTAAGTAGCAAATTCGAAGTTTTGTCACAAATTGTGATTTTGTAGTTTTACCAAAATTTTAAACACATATGTTTAGATAATATCTTTTCATTAGTAAAATTGAAAAAAAATGAACTTTTTGCTTCTTTTAAGCAGCAAGGTTTATGCCTTTGATACAATCATTTAGCTGCAAATTCTATTTTAGTTGAAAAAATGCTATAAAAATGGCTTTACATAATGAACTGATACTTTCTTAACAGATTTTTCCCAGCAGTGGGATTATTTTTTCTGTAAAATTCAAGGTTTCATCTTATAGATTATGTAATAAAATTCTACTGTTCGCGATCAAAATTTCACTGTTCGAGGGTGTTGAAATTAGTGGGGGTTATTAAAATAATGATACTTAAAGAAGTGATTTTTTGGAAGGAAATTAAGGTATGATACTAAAACAAGTGTTTTTTATGTCATTATCCTAGATTTAGTACAAGGTCATCACCTGACATGACCCGGTCATCCTATCAACACAGATGTTGGTTCTGAAAATTTTAGCAACATAATTAGTCCCTGGATCATTAGTATTCTATATTTAAAGCTACAATAAAATTAAATCACTTAGTTTAGTGATTAATTTGTACTACTTAAATAGGTGATTATTAAAGAAAGACAACTCTTACTTCCAACCTTTATGGACATAATGTTACTTGAATCAGTGATTTAGAAAATCACTCATTTAAGTAAGTCCCCTGACTGATAAAACTTGTGATAAATTTTCATATCCATCGTTCATCAACTTTCTGCTCACTGAATACTTGAGTGTGGGTATCATTTGTGAACAATAGCTCACTGCATATCTTGTTGTGATAGCTTACAGTCATCATCACAAGCCAAGGGTTAGGAGGGGACTGTATCGTAGCGAAGATGGCTTACAGTCTGATGCACTAAATAGCAATGAATAGTTATTTACCACTCATATGTATTGCTTTTATCTTTTGTAGAAATTCTTTGGCACACCAAAAAGATGAACCAAGAAGAGCTTGATGAAGTAGCTGAAAAGTTGGACATAAAATACAGTGTTTTGGACAATCTTGAGGATGGAAGGTTGACATACACAGCCAATATTGTTCTGAAAAACTATAGTTCAGTAACATTAGATTATGAGAAGAAATGGGCTATTTATTTCTGTCACATTCGAATGATAGAACCTCCCATTCTGCCAGATGAAGAAGCAATCATTGTTGCCTCAGGGATCAAATTCAGACATATCAATGGGTGTTTGTTTACACTGGAACCTATCAAGTCTTTCAAACCAGTTGGTAAAAATGAATCGTTAGAAGTTATGTTCAAAGCTCAGTATTATTCAGTTGCAAGGTCGGACCTTATGCCAAATTGGTATATAACATCAGAAAGCCTCAAACCTAGAGTGTTAAAATGTACTAGTCATGATGATTTACAATATGTGCAGTCCTTTGACGAGGAGGCAAAATGGAAACGGTTTTCGTATAAATTAGATAACGGAACTTTAAGACAGGATAAGTATGATCCATGGACACCACAGGAGAGATTCATAAAAAATAAAATTGAAGACCTGAAGAAACAGGGCAAGGATGTAATACCAACACCGCTTGAAATGGACATAGATAAAGTCAAGGACATTAATTTGTCCTCTGGTAACTGGATTATATATGCTGGAAAGGAAGTTTACAAAGAGGCACAGATTCTTAAAGGTAACAAAGACTGCTTTTTGTCTTTTCTTGAATGTTTGTCATTTGAGCAGAGTTGTTCAAGTTTTTGATTAGGGCTCACAGGCAAGACATGTCTGTGTCAGCAGTTAGTTGTATTGAGTAGCATATACCATGTACATTTTATATAAAATATATGCTCATAATAAATCCACGCTAAAACTTCTGGAGTTTACAGTATTGAAATGTCATCAAGAAAACAAACTTACCAAAAATTTAAAACTCACACAAATATAGCTGTGTTTTAAAAAAACATGTTTAATAATAAAAAAATAACTACAGCATGTACAGTACAGTCTGTTATTCACTTCAGCACAGGCATAACAGGTGGATTGTGTCATTTTCACCTGTCCTTGGTGGGAGTAAGCCAGTGGACAAATTTTCTAGAGTGTCCTTTATGTCCACCCTATAGAGTAGACATGTCATTTCTTTTGTTTAATCATAGGAGTTCCACGTACTGAGTAAATGACATGAATGAATTAAGATTTTGTGTACCAAAAATTCATATTATAACTTTGCTACACATTTTATATATCTTTCAGATGGTAAATCATGTAAATATTTAATTTAAAACATTATTTAAAAGAAAATTTATTTTACAGGTAATATTAAAATAGATGTTGATGTGAAAGAAATGAAAACAAATGACAATGCTAGATGTGAAAATGTGATAACCTTGAAACTGGGGCAAGTGTATGACGGCAATAATTCTGAGGCTTATGCTCTGACAATCAAAGAAAATCCTCCATTGGTTGAAATCATTGGAAACAAACCCTGTGGGGTATTTTATGGGGTGCAAACTCTGTTAGCATTATTAAAAGACAACAGAATTCCAATAGTGAAAATTAAAGACTATCCACGCTATCCTTACCGAGGGATGCAACTGGATGTGTCCAGAAACTTTCATAGTAAAGCTCAGGTCTTAAAGCTTTTGGATGTGATGGCCATGTATAAGATGAATAAATTCCACTTCCATTTAACTGACGATGAAGGATGGAGGATAGAAATTCCAGGATTAGAGGAACTCACTTTGGTAACATTATTAAGTTTAAGTGTTATACACAATATAATATATACTGTCAGAGTAAAAAAGTTTAGCAACAAATGTTTATAATTCAATATGTAAAAAATAAACTAAGAACACTTCTAAATACAATGTAATTTATGGTTACAAAGGAAGTAAACCATAAGGTTCAATTTTTACTGCAGAAACAAATTCATTACAAATTTCATTTCTACAACTTTGAAAAGATTTAATTTTAGATTTTACTTAGGACATGTAGGAAGTAATTGTTACGTTTCGGTGGCACATCATGGTGCTTAAGAGATATAGTGTTAATATTGTACACTATTATCTGTCATGTCTTTATTCATATAACTTATAATAACTTTATGAATTATATAAATTTTCAGGTTGGAGGTAGGAGAGGTCATGACCTTTCTGAGAGAACTTGCATTCTCCCAATGCTTGGTTCAGGTCCAGATTTTAATACATCGGGTACAGGATATTATACAGTTAAGGAATACCAGGAAATTTTACAATATGCTGTAGATCGACATATTGAAGTAATTCCAGAAATTGACATGCCAGGACATAGTCATGCCGCCATTAAAGCAATGCGAGCAAGATATCTTAAATACAAGGATGAAGGGGATTTAGAAAAAGCCAAAGAATATGTATTGACAGATTTAGCAGACACTAAGCATATCTTATCTTGTCAATTGTATGCAGAAAATTCCATGAATCCAGGCCTGGATTCAACATACAGATTCATTGAAAAAGTTGTAGTAGAAGTACAGAAAATACATGAAGATGTTAGTCCATTAAAACTGTTCCATTTTGGTGGTGATGAAGTTCCCTATGAATCATGGTTGGACTCACCTGCTTGTAAAAGACTTATTGACACAAAAGAAGTTAATAAGTTTAGTGAATTGATGGAATATTTTATTAAAAAAGTGGCTAAAATTGTTGCTCAGCATGACTTATATTTAGGAGCTTGGCAAGATGGGGTTATTCATGATGAAGTATTTTTAGAACCAATGAAGAGGGACTCTTTTCCTAATAAGGAAGTTGTTGCTTATGCCTGGCAGAATGTTTGGGAGTCTGGTTTGTCAGGTTGTGCATATAAGCTTGCTAATGAAGGTTACAAGGTAAGATTGTATGACCAGGTTTTATCATATCTCTCTGCTCAGCTACTCAGAAAATGCTGTGTAGATAGCTGTGTGACCTTGAAAAGATTTGAACTAACAGAAAACATGTATCAAGTTTAACCAAAATCTACCAATGAAATCAAAATTATTTGATCTGGAAAAATTAAGTTGGACCACAAGTTACATACAACAATCATGACAATTGGTTTCCAGAACAACAACAAATGAATGTTTTGGATCAAGAAAAAATGAAACCAAAAACATGATAAACATAGCATCATATTTTAGCAAACATATACTTGAATAAAAACTGCTTAACATAGTTAAGATCAGTCAACCTAAACATCTTTAAGCATGTTAAGCTGATTTCCAATGTTCAGTAATAAGAAGGTAGAAGCTGAAATTTTGTCATGGTATCCATATGTAGAAAACCTCATGATCTTTGCATACAGTACACACTTATAAGGTGATTAGGTCTAGGATTATATGTCTTTCTGGTGTGGAGTGATCACTGTGAAAAAGAGAGACATTTATTCCCAATCTCCAGCATTCGTTCTGAAACCTTCAATCACCAGCAATTACCCTGTTTCACTGTGCAAGAAAGAGATTTGAACTGGTTCACCTTGTGCATGTGTTTATCTGTATTAATCTATAATGCAATTGTTCATTTGTTTTGTAGGTTGTGATGGCTCAGGGTACCCACCTGTACTTTGATCACCCACAGGAACCTGACCCAGAAGAAAGAGGTCTGTACTGGGCTGCCAGATATATAGATACAAGAAAGACATTCAGTTTTATGCCAGATAATATTTATGCAAATGCAGATTTCAAGCTTACAGGTGATCCTATTACAAAGAAAGATTTAGACCACAATGCTAAAGACCATCATCAATTGAAAAAGGAAAAGAATGTTATTGGTGAGTTTTTACAATACCTATGAGCATGTTGAGGCTGTTAAAACAAATGGGTTCAATTTATATCCAGTCCAAGCGTGTAAGATCGGTCACATAGCATTCTTTGTTAGTCTTTTATGTTTTTTTAATTTTAGTTCATTTATATGTTTCGGAGTTTAGTGTGATGTCCATTTTCGCTGAACTAGTACACATTTTTGTTTAGGGGCCAGCTGAAGCCCGACTCCGGGTGCAGGATTTTCTCGCTGTGTTGAAGACCCATCGGTGGCCTTGGGCTGTTTTCTGCTCTTTGGTCGGATTGTTGTCTCTTGTGACACATTCCCTATTTCCATTCTCAATTTTATTTAATCAAGTCTGTCTAATGCTTGGTTCTTAATGAATTTTATTTTTTATTTGAACAATTTTTCACATTTTCCTCTTATCTTCCTTATAGGTTGATGATGTTGTGTGATTTTCTGTGTTTATTTTTATTAATTCCTTTGTCAGACATTAAATGATCAAATTTGTTGCTAGACTTCAACAGTATCAGACATGTCAAAATTCCCAGATAGTGTGCAAGAATATTAGATAGTGACCAAATCATATTTATCTGCCATGTCAGACTCTCAGATATCAAGATGTATTAATATTTGCTAATTATCTTATTTCATGTGAATTTTATTTCTTGTATCATGTGTATATTTGTCATATTTTTTTACTTCCATTTATAGATTTATGAAAAGGTATGTGTATAACCCTGTATTATAGAGTTAATATATAAGAGATTATGTGCAATCTTTCCTCTATCATTAAATTTGCTATAGTAATCAGTGAATTGTTTAAAAGAGAGCTTTACATGTTTTAAATATGTAGTTGTACATTTCACATGTAAATGTATACTTTACTTTGAATTTATTCAAACAACATATAGGAAGGAAGAAAATTAGATGTTTTTGATAATATTTTTTCTTTGTTTTAAGAAATAATTCATGCAAGCCATAGATTTGTTGGAAATTTTCACATTGCCTGGGTCTTTATATTTATTAATTTTATCATTTGCTAAGGCTCTGGATAAAATTTGAATGGCCCAGACCATGTGAAAATTGTAACAAATCTATGGCTTGCTTGAATTATTTCGATTCTTATAGGATCAATATGTTAATTTTTAAAAACTGAAGCGAAGAAAAGTGTGGCTGTTCTTTTTTAACCCCCTGTAAGGTAAAGCTAAAAATTTCCAATAAATCTTTGGCTTGCATGAATTATTTCTTAAATAACCTCTAGATAAAATGTGTTTCATCATTATAATTCTCAACTCAAACATATTTTTACATTGGCTACTATTTACTGTCAAATACACAGTAAATATGTGGTAACTAATGAGTGAGCTGCCAAGTTGACTTTCTGTGAAATCCTCAAATGTGCGAATAATGTAAAAGAATAGGAACTAAAATAACACCTATCTCAAGACTTCATTTTAATGGAATATCATCTGAATTTGGAGGGTACAATAACAGAATAACTTTCAGCTTGAGATTTTTCATTATACATGTTATATGACATCATGTTTTGAAATGATGTTAATATGCCAAGAGCATTCATGGAATTTAGCGGAATTTTATTTTATTTTAATTTTGTACATTTTTCTAAGCTCTTATGCATAAATTTCTTTTTGTTATGCATTAGACTAAGAATAACTATTCAGTAATTCTATTTCAATTTAAATATTAACACAGTGAAATCAACATTGTGTTTGCATATAGCTATATATAGGTTATGATACATTTGGATTTATATGGGAGGTAAATTGTAACAGCTAAAAATATGTACATCTCTGAGTCTAGGCTAAGTATAAATATATCGAGAATTTTATCACACTGTTGTTCACAAAGTCAAAGAAGCACATTATATTAGAATTACTATTATTGTATATTTATTTGTATGTAAAGTATTGACAAATAAAATAGAACTCTAATTATAACATGTATAATGTCACATGGGAATATGTTGAACTGGAATATTAAATAGACAGTGAACTAGTGAGAATGGAAATGTTTGCTTATGAAGTTAATCATCAAAAGTATCATAATATTAAACCTTTATTGTGAAAATTTTGAGTAGCATTTAATTAACAAGAACAATTTCAGGCATGCAAGGACAACTATGGTCAGAACTTGTCAGACTTCCAGACCAAATGGATAATATGATATTTCCAAGATTAATTCCTTTGGCTGAAAGAGCTTGGCACAAAGCACAATGGGAGAGTGAAGAAAAGCAGGACAGCAGAAAAAGACAGGAGACTGCTGATTGGACATTATTTGCTAACAGCTTGGGGTATAAAGAGCTAGAAAGATTAGATAATATGGGAGTGGCTTATCATATACCACCTCCAGGTGCAAGGTATATTTTATTAATTGAATTTTATAATTGCAATTATTAGCTTTTCTGGCAATAAAGACCAGCGTTAGCTTTTGCCATCTAAAGGCATCCCTTGTACAGCATCTTGTATCTGGTTAAGGCCTTCAACTTATAAAAATATTCTCCTTTGAAACTAGTTGAAAAAACGAAGTTAGCCTTCGTCATCCCTAGGAAGTCTACAGAAGAATTTATGTCTGATGACCTGTTCTCACACCAACATAGCTGCTATAGATATAGGAAGATGTGGTATGAGTGCCAATGAGACAACTCTACATCCAATTAACAATTTATAAAAGTAAACCATTATAGGTCAAGGTACGGCCTTCAACACGGAGCATTGGCTCACACCGAACAGCAAACTATAAAGGGCCCCAAAAAATTACTAGTGTAAAACCATTCAAACGGAAAAACCAACGGTCTAATCTATATAAAAACGAGAAACGAGAAACACGTATGAACTACATAAACAGACGACAACTACTGTAATCAGATTACTGACTTAGGACAGGTGCAAACATTTGCAGCAGGATTAAAGATTTTAATGGTACCAAATTAAACCTTCTCCCTTTTCTGAAACAATAGTATAACATCACAACATAGAAAAACACACTATAAAATATCAATTGGAAGGCTTAACTCATTCAAAAAACGTAAATTAACATACACAATGAACGAATAAATTTGACCTGTGACACCTGAATGCAAATACACAGTTAATAAAGAATTACAAAGGATATATATTTAAAGTCAAAAGTAAATAAACAGGTTTAAACAAAGTTAACGTATGATATCACTGTAAAATTTCAAACAATTTATAGAAAACAATCACTTTTGAAGAAACCTGCGTCATATTATACACAGGTAAATGAAAATAATTTTGTTGTTAAGTATACTTCTTCTTCTGTGTGTATAAAATCTTCCGTTTAGGAATACCAAGAAATTTATTTAATATCAATAAAACTAATCAAACACTTGGTACATATGGGGTGAATATCAACCATACAAATATACAATTAGTGCTAGATAAAACTTCCTGTACAGGTCCAAGAACAGCATCTAAGGAAAAATGAAGTAATTTTGATGATCATAGTACGAAGAAGTGAAAATTTGTAGTAATTAAATACCAAATAATCAAAGCTGGTATATAGACTAGATCCATGTTAACATTAAATAACAAAAAGGCATTACAAATAGTATCAACAGGTCAAATTAAAAAGAAAGTACGATTTGAGAGTACTCGCAGTTTCTGACAGCTAGTTAAAAGCCAAAACAATTAATAATAATAAATCATGCATCAGAGACTAAAATCAACTAAAATACATCCCATGGATTTAGTATTTTAACGTTATGAACAGTCAAAGAAGACATGACTTGTGCAATGCCAAAAATAAATGTATCGACATGTAGTAGGATAGTTAGGAGTGACTTCTTTATAGATAAAAATGAACGTGTGTTTGTCTCTGTACATCCCGTTTGAAAAGAATGGCTATTTTTAAATAGCACTTTATTGGGAAATTTAAAAACAAGAATTGAAAAATTATAAAAAATTTGTTTTAAACCAATCATGCAATATCAAAAAAAATAATAATAAATCATGTTAAGAATCCATTGTTACAAACATTTTGTTAAATGACATATTCATGATCCTCTTTAGAATTGTTGTTGAATCCATTAAGACTCAAAACCTAGCCAGCTGAGGACCACCTGCGGGTGCGGGATTGGTGGTCTTCGGCTGTTGTCTGCTCTTTGGTCGGATTGTTGTCTCTTTGACATTTTCCCCATTTCCATTCTCAATTTTATCTGTTGTTTACTAAGAAGAGAACAATTGACTAATATTCTGTTTAAAAAAAAATCTGAAAAACTTTGGTTGAATTTTACATTTAGGATACAGTTTAAAATTTATGATTGGTAACCCAATCAAATCTAAAATATGATAGCCACCATAACATAACAATGAGGATTTTACCAAAAATTAAACAAAGAAATTTTGTAAATCTGTGATCATTTATAATCCTCTTTACCATATTTAGGAATTGTGGTTGATGAATTCATCACCTTGTGAATATGGCTGCCAACATTAAAGAAAATGATAATATGACAAAAAATGTAAATGAAACAGTTCTAAAAAATAATTTGAAGGATTGATTGCTGAACTTTGGTCATAATATAAACATGACAAAGGTGTTTGTAATGCTAAAAAATAATTTGGCTAATTTGTTCAGAGATCAGAGGTAAAGGTTACAACTATAAAGATTTTTCGAATATAGACACTAGTCTTACATAAAATGAATGTTTGCAACCAATTCTCTACTTTAAAACTATGTTTTTTAATGCTTGAAAATAAATGAGGCTGACCACCGCTGACCTCTGACTTAAAAACTTAATGAAAGCATTGCTATTGGCCATAGTTTTATGGTAAACAGATACTTTGTATTTATGATTTTAAAGTACATAATAATTGAGTGCACCTGTGTATGTTTTCAACATGCAAATGCCCAAGTATTAAGTTTAAGACGAAAAATCCACATATATTCACCAGATTTGTATGCCTTATGAATTTTTCTCTTGTTAACAACTTATATATTCCAACTTTACACAATGAACTGAAGACCTCAAATCAACCGATGATAACATACAAGATGGCAGTGAAAATATTTACTTTGCCTTGATATTTACAGGTTTTTTATAATATTGTTCTTATTCTTTAGTGGGAAGATATTTTAAATAACAGCAAATATTTGAACTCTAAAATAAAAAAAATTGAATTATTCAATTCTTTGATATTAAATTATGATTCCAGACAAACATGAAAATATAATTGGGTCATATTACTGTATTAATTGCGCATATTGTGGTATCTATGTCAAAGAAATGTTGTTTTGCTGCATACTGACCGAAAATATTAATTTTACAACTTTTTTTTTATTAGACTAATTATGAGTAGCATCTTTTGTCTATACAAATTTTGTTAAAGTCATTGACATTGAAATACAGGTTTATTATAAATGTTGCTAAACTTACTTTTAACTTACCAAATCCCTTTCCTGTTGTGTGAAAAATTGTTTTTTTTTCTTGTATTTTCAAGGATTGTGAACAGTAAAATAGAAATGAATGTGGCATATCCTGGACTAAAAATGGAGTACAGCATAGATAATGGTGTCACATGGTCATTGTATGACATGCCAGTAGAAGTCAAAGATGACGCAGATATACTGTTAAGAACCAAGTAAGTCTATATGCAGTATACGCTGGATAACAATATGAAATTAAGGGCATACAATACAGTAGAGGGAGCAGAATATAATGCATCCAAATTTTACATGTAAAGTTTACACCATTAACAATGATTGAATAGCATTAAAAATTCATTATCATCATCAAATCAGTGACATGAATTTGAAAACAGTTGCAAAGGTAAACCAAAATGCTGTATATTTAAGAACATAAAATCTACTGCAGGATATAAAAATCAGGGCAATTGAAGACTGATAACTATTTCATCATGAATAAGTTTACAATTTATGGTAGTAATTCATATGCTTTGATATACAAAGGGAATTGATGCCTGATGTTGTTGATTAAAGAATGCTCCGCTACTTACCATAATTTAGTACTGAAAGGGTTAATAAAATCCACAGCATATATTATTGTTTTCTTCTGCTGTTAACTAAAGAAAAAGAAAAAAGCATATTTCTGTAAGTGGCTGAAAAAAGGACATGGGCCACTCTTTTTTTTTCTCTCTTTTGCAATCAAGGTTCAAGAATGTAATAGCAAAATTGCAAGAAAAAAATAAGCACATTTTTAGCTCACCTGACCTGAAAGGTCAAGTGAGCTTTTCTCATCACTTTGCGTCCGTCGTCCGTCGTCCTGCGTCCGTCGTCCGTCGTCCGTCGTCCGTAAACTTTTACAAAAATCTTCTCCTCTGAAACTACTGGGCCAAATTTAACCAAACTTGGCCACAATCATCATTGGGGTATCTAGTTTTAAAAATGTGTGGCGTGACCCGGTCAACCAACCAAGATGGCCGCTACGGCTAAAAATAGAACATAGGGGTAAAATGCAGTTTTTAGCTTATAACTCAAAAACCAAAGCATTAAGAGCAAATCTGACATGGGGTAAAATTGTTCATCAGGTCAAGATCTATCTGCCCTGAAATTTTCAGATGAATCGGATAACCCGTTATTGGGTTGCTGCCCCTGAATTGGTAATTTTAAGGAAATTTTGCTGTTTTTGGTTATTATCTTGAATATTATTATAGATAGAGATAAACTGTAAACAGCAATAATGTTCAGCAAAGTAAGATTTACAAATAAGTCACTATAACCGAAATGGTCAGTTGACCCCTTTAGGAGTAATTGCCCTTTATAGTCAATTTTTAACCATTTTTCGTAAATCTTAGTAATCTTTTACAAAAATCTTCTCCTCTGAAACAACTGGGCCAAATTAAACCAAACTTGGCCACAATCATCATTGGGGTATCTAGTTTAAAAAATGTGTGGAGTGACCAGGCCAACCAACCAAGATGGCCGCCACAGCTAAAAATAAAACATAGGGGTAAAATGCAGTTTTTGGCTTATAACTCAAAAACCAAAGCATTTAGAGCAAATCTGACATTAAGTAAAATTGTTTATCAGGTCAAGATCTATCTGCCCTGAAATTTTCAGATGAATCGAACAACCTGTTGTTGGGTTGCTGCCCCTGAATTGGTAATTTTAAGGAAATTTTGCTGTTTTTGGTTATTATCTTGAATATTATTATAGATAGAGATAAACTGTAAACAGCAATAATGTTCAGCAAAGTAAGATTAACAAATAAGTCAACATGACTGAAATGGTCAGTTGACCCCTTTAGGAGTTATTGCCCTTTATAGTCAATTTTTAACAATTTTTCGTAAATCTTAGTAATCTTTTACAAAAATCTTCTCCTCTGAAACTCTGTGGCCAAATTAAACCAAACTTGGCCACAATCATCATTTGGTTATCTAGTTTTAAAAATGTGTGGCGTGACCAGGTCAACCAACCAAGATGGCCGCCACGGCTAAAAATAGAACATAGGGGTAAAATTCAGTTTTTGGCTTTTAACTCAAAAACCAAAGCATTTAAAGAAAATCTGACATGAAGTAAAATTGTTTATCAGGTCAAGATCTATCTCCCCTGAAATTTTCAGATGAATTGGACAACCCGTTATTGGGTTGCTGCTCCTGAATTGGTAATTTTAAGGAAATTTTGCTGTTTTTGGTTATTATCTTGAATATTATTATAGATAGAGATAAACTGTAAACAGCAATAATGTTCAGCAAAGTAAGATTTACAAATAAGTCAATATAACCGAAATGGTCAGTTGACCCCTTTAGGAGTAATTGCCCTTTATAGTCAATTTTTAACCATTTTTCGTAAATCTTAGTAATCTTTTACAAAAATCTTCTCCTCTGAAACAACTGGTCCAAATTAAACCAAACTTGGCCACAATCATCATTTGGTTATCTAGTTTTGAAAATGTGTGGCGTGACCTGGTCAACCAACCAAGATGGCCGCCACGGCTAAAAATAGAACATAGGGGTAAAATTCAGTTTTTGGCTTTTAACTCAAAAACCAAAGCATTTAAAGCAAATCTGACATGAAGTAAAATTGTTTATCAGGTCAAGATCTATCTGCCCTGAAATTTTCAGATGAATCGGACAACCCGTTGTTGGGTTGCTGCCCCTGAATTGGTAATTTTAAGGTGATTTTGCTGTTTTTGGTTATTATCTTGAATATTATTATAGATAGAGATAAACTGTAAAAAACAATAAATGTCGGCAAAGTAAGATCTACAAATAAGTCAACATGACCGAAATTGTCAGTTGACCCCTTTAGGAGTTATTGCCCTTTATAGTCAATTTTTAACCATTTTTTCGTAAATCTTAGTAATCTTTTACAAAAATCTTCTCCTCTGAAACTACTGGGCCAAGTTAATTATAGATAGAGATAATTGTAAGCAGGAAAAATGTTCAGTAAATTAAGATGTACAAACACATCACCATCACCAAAACACAATTTTGTCATGAATCCATCTGCGTCCTTTGTTTAATATTCACATAGACCAAGGTGAGCGACACAGGCTCTTTAGAGCCTCTAGTTTTTTTCTGTATGCATTTGTAGTCTATGGCTTTTCTATTCCAAATAATTATGTTTTTACACAAAAATTATCACACTCATCCTTCGTCATGGTAGCTAGCTTAAGGGCCTATAAACTAAGGAACACATTGCATAGAACCAGGTCAAAATATCTCCTTCCATTTTAAAGTTGTGTCATTTTTATGCTCTACCAAAGATAGTATGGGGTATTATGTTTTTTGGTAGTGCATCTGTCTATCCATAGATCTGAAAAATTCACCTGAGCCATAGTTCTTGAGATTAATTTTCCATATGTATATTATAAATTATAGGAAAGGAATTTCAATGTTTTCTTATTTTTCCATACTTCCAGAATTCAAATAATCCCTTCTGTGGAAAATTAATGCAGAGAAAATTATGCCATATATTTGAATGACCATCCTTTAAAAATGATACTTAAATGTACTTCCCCATATGCATCAATACTCAACCAATTAAATATTTTTATTGCTGAATGTTGATTTAGACTTGCAAGTATATTGCTGTGAAAAATGAATAAAGAATAATGAGAATTTTAATATGTAATTTTAGATCAGCCAATGGGAAGAGAAACAGTAGACATGTGGTACTGAAAATGGTGGCTGAAAAGATGAAAAATTCACAAAAAACATGGAATCAGTAAAATAGCATTAGAGCTCAGCTTATATTGTTCAGTATATATCAAATATATTATATAAAACACTGCTTTTAAGTATGTAACTGTTGTATAACATCAAATGGTTCTCTGGCCTTTGGTTTTTGTCGAGCCTGCGACTTTTGTCGCAGAAAGCTCGACATAGGGATAGTGATCCAGCGGCGGCGTCAGCTAACTTCTTTAAAGCTTTATATTTTCCAAGATGGAAGACCTGGATGATTCATACTTTGTATATAGATGCCTTATGTTATGAAGTTTCCGTCTGTCATATGTCCATTGTCCTTGACCTCATTTTCATGGTTCAGTGACAACTTGAAAAAAAGTTAAGATTTTTTGTAAAGTTAATTTCTCTCTTATTATGAGTAATAGGATAACTATATTTAATATGTGCCTACCTTGCAAGGTCCTCATGCCCGTCAGACAGTTTTTATCTGACCTCGACCTCATTTCATGGATCAGTGAACAAGGTTAAGTTTTCGTGGTCAAGTCTGTATATCAGATACTATATGCAATATGTCTTCTATATTTGGTGTATGGAATGATTGTAAGGTGTACATGTCCAACTGGCAGGTGTCATTTGACATTGACCTCATTTTCATGGTTCAGTGGTTAAAGTTAAGTTTTTGTGTTTTGGTCTATTTTTCTAATACGTCACGTATATGCAATAGGTCAACTATATTTGGTGTATGGAAATATTTTACAATGTACATGTCAGTTTGACAGGTTTTATTTGACCTTGACCTCATTTTCACGGTTCATTGCTTAGTGTTTAGTTTTTGTGTTTTGGTCTGTTTTTCTTAAACTATAACCAATAGGTCAACTATATTTGTTGTATGGAATGATTGTAAGGTGTATATGTCTGTCTGGCAGGTATCATCTGACCTTGACCTCATTTTCATGGTTCATTGGTCAATGTTAAGTTTTCATGGTTAAGTTTGTTTCTTAGATACTATAAGCAATAGGTCAACTATATTTATTGCATATATTGATTGTAAGGTGTACATGTCTGTCTGGCATGGTTCATTTGACCTTGACCTTATTTTCATGGTTCATTGGTCAATGTTTAGTTTTCCTGTTTAAGTCTGTTTCTTAGAAACTAAAAGCAATAGGTCAACTATATTTGGTGTATTGAATGATTGTAAGGTGTACATGTATTTCCAGTTGGGTCTATCTGCCCTTGACCTCATTTTCTTGGATCATGTTAATTTTATGTGATACTTTTAGTAAAGCTTTATATTTAGGACTATCAACATAAAATCAATGGTCAGTAAAGAAGGCGAGACATTTCAACCAGTGCACTCTTGTTTCATAAGTAATTGAAAGACAAAAAATGAAAGAAGGAGGTACGAAAAGAGCATTATTTTGCCAGTAACTAAAAAAAATCACGTTTATCTTTTTTTGTGGTGTTTTTCGTTTTTTATTTATTTTATTTTTATTTTTTTAAGGTTGTCAAATGAATATCTGAATACGTGATAGTTTATGTGTATATTTTGGTGTAGACCAGCATTTTTGTTATTGGATGTAAAAAGTAAAATGTTAACTTAAAACTAATTTAATTAGGTATGGGAAAAATGGCTATAACTAAGCTAACCCTTGTTGTATTTAAGAAAGGAAATTGATAAGTCACAACTAAGAAGTGTTCAATCTTTAGATATGTGGTATTAATTATAATTAGATACTAAGAGTATGTATCAATATTTACATTGTCTTAAAGAGAATATCCTGAAAATACACAGCAGTTTCTTCCACATAAAATCAGGTTAAATTGATATAGTATGATGCAGTTCTGTAATTCCGCCAATATAAGGCTTTGATCGTATGTATTTCTGCTTAATTATATACAAATTGTATCAAATTTAATATAAATTGATTCACTGACAACTCAATTTTAAGAAGGTTATCTCATTTCCCAAAAAATATCTGAAATAAATTTTAAAATCAACAAAACAAGTGGGTCACGTGTGTTTTTATCTGAAATGTGTTTGTCTGGTAAATCCGCCCATGTGCAGTAAATCTGTATGTAGGGCCAGTTTATCATATAATTATGAATGGAAAGTAGTGATTTATTAATAGACTGCTTGTAAAGGGATTCCAGACAATAGAAAAAAAAATTCATGTCAGAAATGAATTTTTTAAGCAATAATATGATTATCATTAGCTTTAGGAACTGTATTATAGATATCACTCAATATTTTCTTAATTAAGGATCTTTTTTTAAAAGTTGACATCCAGTGAGGATAAGTACAGTTCCTATGAATAAAATAGCAGACGAAATATTCATGGAAGTGACAATTATGGAAGTAAATGGGAGTGGGCGGGTTTACTGGAAAATACTTGAGTCTGTGTGTTAGGTGTAAAATTGGAAGTGTTCCTATGTTGCTCTAAATAAAAGGCATTCGTCATGTTAAACACTGTATTATGTACCAGCAGTTTTTGAAGTTTTATAAACATATTTTGAAGCAAGATGGGGTGACAAAAGTTTTAAATAGTAGGATTTTCCTTTGTAGTCAGTTTTAGGTGTTTAAAGTGATGTTAGTTTGAAAAAAGAGCAAAACTCACTTGCTATGTTTATAAAGCTATTGTTCTTGTGCTCCATGTATTCATTAGCAATAAACAAAATTGAAACCCGAAATGAAAATTGGGTGTTTTTATGATTTCAAAGAATGGTTGATATTTACTTGAAATGAGTAATTTAAACTCTGAGAATTAAAATATACACTACATGCAGAAATTTGAGGTAAACTTTATAATACCTGGTATGTGCAAAGGGCGTTGGCCTTTTTTTTTAAACTGTGGATTCAATGACATTATTTCAAACATGATCAAATTTGTATTGAATTAGGTGCAGTTAAAATTACTGCTTTGGTGAAGGTGATTAATATGCATTTATTTCCCTTGTGTTATGGAGATATGAAGATTTTTTCACCAAAGAAAATTCATATTTCCAAAGGGCATTGCATGAGGGAAATATGACTTTTTGAGGGTGAACAAATCTTCATATCTTCCTAAGCCAATGAAAATAAATGTTTTATTCCACTGTCTATTTTTGTACCATCTAAAAATTTTAAAAAATATTTACATACAATTTTTCAGAACAGCTTGCCGTTAAAACTAAACACAACATAAACAAAACCAATCAGAAGTTAGTTATTTATTCTATGACAATTTTTTTTTCTGTTTTAAGGATGTTCGCTCCTCTTGATTTTGAATTTTTACCAGATATTCGGAATCCTCTGGTTTTATCCATGCAGTGCCATTAACAAATTTTGCCCGCAAACCCCTACTTTTCTTTTCATATTTTTATTACATATAGTTTAAAAAGCCATATTTGAAAATCTTATAAAATCCTAGTTATTTTTCCATAGCTTTTGAAAGAAAAAGGTGCCAGTGTTAAGTGTATGAAAAATCTAGAGAGAATCACTTTCGCCAAATTTTTAATGGCTTATATCTTGAAAACAAGCACACGAACCCTTCATTTTTGTCGAGCCTTCGACTTTTGTCGAAAAAGCGAGACATAGCGATCCTACATTCCGTCGGCGGCCGCGTCCACAAATATTCACTCTGTGGTTAAAGTTTTTGAAATTTTAATAACTTTCTTAAACTATCCTGGATTTCTACCAAACTTGGACAGAAGCTTGTTTATGATCATAAGATAATATTCAAAAGTAAATTTTGTGAAAAAAAAATTCCATTTTTCCGTATTTTACTTATAAATGGACTTAGTTTTTCTGCCAGGAAACATTACATTCACTCTGTGGTTAAAGTTTTTGAAATTTTAAATAACTTTCTTAAACTATCCTGGATTTCTACCAAACTTGGAAAGAAGCTTGTTTATGATCATAAGATAGTATCCAGAAGTAAATTTTGTAAAAAAGAAAATCCATTTTTTCCGTAATTTACTTATAAATGGACTTAGTTTTTCTGTCAGTTAACATTACATTCACTCTGTGGTTAAAGTTTTTAAAATTTTAACAACTATCCTGGATTTGTACCAAACTTGGACAGAAGCTTGTTTATGATTAAAAGCTAGTATCTAGAAGGAAATTTTGTTAAAATTTTATTCCGTTTTCTCCGTATTTTACTTATAAATGGACTTAGTTTTTCTTCCAGTTAATATTACATACAGTCTGCAGTTTAAGTTTTTTAAACATTTATTAGATTCATAAACTATCCTGGATTTTTACCAAACTTGGACAGAAGCTACTTACAATCAAAAGATAGTATAGAGAGGAATATTTTTATTAATTTTTTTCCTCTTTTTTGTTGAGCCTGCGATTAACAGCAAAAGTAGGCGAGACACTGGGTCCCGCGGAACCCTTACGAATTTTTTTCTTTTTTTTTAGTTCCTTTATTCATATGCCTTCAATTTATAACAGTCTTTTAAAAAGCTTGTTATTTTGAAACAGAGTAGCGGACATCCTTAAGTCTGAAATAAATTTGATAATTTTGATAATGATTATACTATGGCCAAATTACAAAAGAAGGAACTATGATACTTAGAGGGGTTTATGAAGTTTGGTTCAATGTCCCAAGGGATAGTCTTAACCAATAAAGTATTTATTTTGCTATCAATATTCACATACAGTGGAATAATGATTTTTATTTATGAAAAAATGAGTGAAAAATTATTTTTGCCAATGACAAATCTAATAGTCTCAGGTGTATACTGACTTTTTAAGCAGTACATGAGTAATCCAGAATTGTGCAATTTTTTTTATAAGAGTTAGATTGTAGATTTTTGAACGCTGAAAAAGTATGACCTAGTTTTGTTGAGTGATATGGCAAGTGTAGTTAAAATGTTATTGATCGTTATAATGGAGGGATTTATTGGTTTTACAGGAGTTGTTCCATTATTTAGATCAAATTTATATTATAAACTATTTGCCTTTATTGATTCAGCAATAATTGTTTTATTGTTTGAATTGCTACAATATAGTCTTTAATGTATATATGTCAGAATTGACTATTACCTCATTCATTGTTAAAAGGTCAGAGAGACCGTGACATGTTTTAGTGTCAGATTGGACTATTTTCTTATTCATAGTTAAAAGGAAGGAGAGTTCATGACATGTTTTAGTGTCATAATGGACTATTTTCTATGTGATAGTTAAAAGGTCAGAGAGACCATGACATGCTTAAGTGTCAGAATAGACTATTTATCTCTTTCATAGTTAAAGGGTAGAAAGATAATGAATTTTGTTTAGTGTGAGAATTGAGTGTGAAATCTTATGGTGAAAATGATAAAGAAATCATGACGGATGGGACTTTCAAGGACCCACCAGTCTACCTTTAGACAAGGTTCTAGATATGCACCATCTACAAGTAAAATGTACAGAGATAAGTAAAATATGCATAAAATAAACATAAAATATAATATGAAGAATTATAAATCATTTCTAATAAATAATAATTTGCATTATATTTCTGTAATGTCTTACTGCTATTCAGTATTGTCACTAAATAAATCATTTCAATTGAAGTGTTGTTTTTTTCCTGAAACATATGATATTAGTTGTCAATGGTTACACAATCTAAATTTTGAATTAGTTTAACTGGCCATGGTAATAAGTGGTTTAAATGTTGTCTTTACAAGTAAACATTTTACATCCCCCTAAATACAATACTGAACCATCTGATAATTCTTAAAGGGGCATTAGCTACATGTACCAGATATAGAAAAAAATAAGATATGAATTGTGTTTTTTTCAATCATTAATGAAAGTGAAATAGTGATATAATAATTTGCTTTTAACAGTCAGTTTGGTTCAGTTTTGTCAAAATAAGCAAAGAAACATCGCTAATGAATTATTCACTTGCAAGTGAATAATTTGTCCTACTTTTCCCCAAATGTGACCTACAAATTTAGTTTTATCACCGGGTTTGTATTTACACGAGCAACATGACGGGTGCCACATACGGAGCACCTGAGATCACCCCCGGTTTCTGGTGGGGTTCCTGTTGCTCTGTCTTTAGTTTTCTATGTTGTGTTTTGTATACTGTTGTCTTTTGGTCTTCTTTCTTTTTTTGTCATGGTGTTGTCAGTTTATTTTCGACCTATGAGTTTGAATGTCCATTTGGTATCTTTGGCCTCTCTCTTTTAACCCAGCATCTTCACCTTACTAATCGTTTTCATATAGTGAACTCAAAAATTTCCCAACTCTTGACCTCAATAGTATGTTACGAGATGTTTGATATAGGCATGAAAGATCTTACTGAAACATAATGAAAACCTTCATTGATTTAATGAAAAAAGGATTAAAATATGATTCTGTTTCAAAACTGAAAAAAATGCAATCTTGTCAAAACTTAATGGAAGTAATTTGTGTGTGTTAATGGTGCAAAATCATTCAATTGAAGCTGGAACTGATTGTCAAATATCAGCACCTAATTGAGGATCTATGAAGCCAATGTTATTGAAAAACGGAGCTGACCTCATTTAAAATCAAGAAAAAAAACATGCTTGTCATTGTAGGGACATAGCTAATAAAAGTTGTACATGTATTGCTGATTTATGAAAAATTAGAAGTGAATTGTTACTAATAACTGATAACTAGTTATTAAAATTATCAGTTAAAATGAAATAGTTTTCTTGTACTGAAGTGCAGAGGTTATTGTCGAGCCTTCAACTTTTGTCGAAAAAGCGAGACATAGTGATCCTACATTCCGTCGTCGTCAGTGGCGTCCACAAATATTCACTCTGTGGTTAAAGTTTTGAAATTTTAATAACTTTCTTAAACTATCCTGGATTTCTACCAAACTTGGAAAGAAGCTTGTTTATGATCATAAGATAATATTCAAAAGTAAATTTTGTAAAAAAAAAAATCCATTTTTTCCGTATTTTACTTATAAATGGACTTAGTTTTCTGCCAGGAAACATTACATTCACTCTGTGGTTAAAGTTTTTGAAATTTTAATAACTTTCTTAAACTATCCTGGATTTCTACCAAACTTGGAAAGAAGCTTGTTTATGATCATGAGATAATATTCAAAAGTAAATTTTGTAAAAAAAAATTCCATTTTTTTCTGTATTTTACTTATAAATGGACTTAGTTTTTCTGCCAGGAAACATTACATTCACTCTGTGGTTAAAGTTTTTGAAATTTTAATAACTTTCTTAAACTATCCTGGATTTCTACCAAACTTGGAAAGAAGCTTGTTTATGATCATAAGATAGTATCCATAAGTAAATTTTGTAAAAAAAAAAATCATTTTTTCAGTATTTTACTTATAAATGGACTTAGTTTTTCTGCCAGTTAACATTACATTCACTCTGTGGTTAAAGTTTTTAAAATTTTAACAACTTTCTTAAACTATCTTGGATTTGTATCAAACTTGGACAGAAGCTTGTTTACGATTAAAAGCTAGTATCTAGAAGAAAATTTTGTTAAAATTTTGTTCCATTTTTGTCGAGCCTGCGACTTTTGTCGCAGAAAGCTCGACATAGGGATAGCGATCCGGCGGCGGCGGCGGCGGCTACGGCGGCGGCGGCGTTAGCTAACTTCTTAAAAGCTTTATATTTTAGAAGGTGGAAGGTCTGGATGCTTCATACTTTGTATATGGATGCCTCATGTTACGAAGTTTCCGTCAGTCACATGTCCAATGTCCTTGACCTCATTTTCATGGTTCAGTGACTACTTGAAAAAAAAGTTAAGATTTTTTGTAATGTTAGATTCTCTCTTATTATAAGTAATAAGATAACTATATTTGGTATGTGCGTACCTTGCAAGGTCCTCATGCCCGTTAGACAGTTTTCACTTGACCTCGACCTCATTTCATGGATCAGTGAACAAGGTTAAGTTTTGGTGGTCAAGTCCATATCTCAGATACTATAAGCAATAGGTCTAGTATATTCGGTGTATGGAAGGACTGTAAGATGTACATGTCCAACTGGCAGGTGTCATCTGACCTTGACCTCATTTTCATGGTTCAGTGGTTATAGTTAAGTTTTTGTGTTTTGGTCTGTTTTTCTTATACTGTATGCCATAGGTCTACTATATTTGGTGTATGGAATGATTGTAAGGTGTACATGTCTAGCGGGCAGGTGTCATCTGACCTTGACCTTATTTTCATGGTTCAGTGGTCAAAGTTAAGTTTTTGAGTTTTGGTCTTTTTTTCTAATACTATGTGCAATAGTTCAACTATATTTGGTATGTGCGTACCTTGCAAGGTCCTCATGCCCGTCAGACAGTTTTCACTTGACCTCGACCTCATTTCATGGATCAATGAACAAGGTTAAGTTTTGGTGGTCAAGTCCATATCTCAGATACTATAAGCAATAGGTCTAGTATATTTGGTGTATGGAAGGACTGTAAGGTGTACATGTCCAACTGACAGGTGTCATCTGACCTTGACCTCATTTTCATGGTTCAGTGGTTATAGTTAAGTTTTTGTGTTTTGGTCTGTTTTTCTTATTCTATATGCAATAGTTCAACTATATTTGGTGTATGGAAATATTTTATGATCTATTTGGCAGTCACGCAGGTTTTATTTGACCTTGACCTCATTTTCAAGGTTCATTGCTCAGTGTTAAGTTTTTGTGTTTTGGTCTGTTTTTATTAAACTATAAGCAATAGGTCAACTCTATTTGTTGTATGGAAGAATTTTTAGCTGTACATGCCTGCCTAGCATGGTTCATCTGACCTTGACCTCATTTTCATGGTTCATTGGTCAATGTTTAGTTTACTTGGTTAATGTTAAGTTTATGTGACAGTTGTAATAAAGCTTTATATTTAGGACTATCAACATAATATCAATGATTAGTAAAGAAGGCGAGACATTTCAGCGTGTGCACTCTTGTTTCAGTATTTTACTTATAAATGGACTTAGTTTTTCTTCCAGTTAACATTACATACAGTCTGCAGTTTAAGTTTTTGAAACATTTATTAGATTCATAAACTATCCTGGATTTTTACCAAACTTGGACAGAAGCTACTTACAATTAAAGGATAGTATAGAGAGGAATATTTTTATTAATTTTTTTCCTCATTTTTGTTGAGCCTGCGATTAACAGCAAAAGTAGGCGAGACACTGGGTTCCGCGGAACCCTTACGAATTTTATTGAGAAGATGTTAGATATGTGGAGCGACTATTAGCTAAATGTTCTATACCAAACTATAGAGCTAAAGCAAGATTAGAAACAATAGAAAAGAAATCTGAATGAAAATGGTTAACAGACAGAAATTCTCAGAAGAAATAGGCTTGAAACATTTATCACTGGAAGCAAAAAACAAACAATCAATTGAGTATGTATACAATTTGACTTTTTGCATAAAACACTAAAAACTCTTTTGCAATGCAAGTTTTGGCCTTGAACCATCCAAGCAAAAACCAAGCCACAGAGGCCTTGACTCTCAAGCTTTAAATCGTTTGCCTCAGTAGATTTAAGGGTCAAAGCTTCACCACTGTAAAATCTCCGGATACAGCTGGGATAACTGCAGAACATACCATATATGCAGAGGATAAGTTTACAAGTCGTGCAAAAACCAATGCATTAGTCCATATTCTGATTTACAATTTACCAACAAGACATTGGGGAAATACTTAAGGCAGATGTATTAACACATGTACTGAGGGAAAATAAGTACAAAGAAAACTTCAAATTACCTTTGAGTATCTGTAACCAAGACCGTAAGTCTTTAAAGATGCTACAAACTTTTTTTAAAGAAAGAACTCATATTCAGTTTGATCATAGATGTATATACATCTATGGTTTGATCAGATACAAAATCTACCCAGGGAGAAACTACAGAGACAGTTTTTCATCTCTCCTAGCATATTCCATAGCTTCAAAGGTAAATCGGAAATGTCTCAATAAAAGCGAATCAAAATGTGCTAACAGGTGTTAATGAAATTGACAACTTTGTGGAATGTGGAAGGCACTCATTGGGGATTTTCGTTTATCAAAAATGAAAACTTATTTGATAATCATTTATAAGAGAAACAGATACTTACATTGTTACTCGTGGATCATCGGATTTATTCAATCTCGATATCTAAATTATCAATTTTAAAGTCCTCGCCGAGGCTCAGACTTTAAAATTCGATAATTTAACTATGGCAGTGGCTATTTTGACGGCACCGGCATCGGCAAAATAGAACATATGCTATTTTGCCGGCTCTAGGTAGTCACTGGTAAACGTAGGCCAATTTTGTTTACAGACATGCAATTTAAAGAACTGTCTAATATTTAAAAAGTAAATTTAATTTTGGTAGATTGTAGATCATTGTATAAGATTGCAAACAACATAGGCGACAATAGTAGCCTTTTTCGAGATATAGACTTTAGAAAGTTGATTTTTAGAACGAAACCTTGCTAGAATTATGGAAAAATTATTCGGACAGTATTTTTTAGTCCAAAAAATATAGGTTCCAGTTGCTTTTCTTAACGCAATTTGTACCGTTATCTCCCTTGCCTATCAATTCTGCACTTAAAAATACGTATCTCGTCACAGCGTAGAAAAGACTTCTCGTGCCCTTTAGGGCTAAGGAAAATATATTATTTTGCCTTTGGTATAATGCAGAGTGGATGAAGTATCTAGTAATAAAATATATCGGCTAGCCTGCACACAACGACCACTGAATCAGGATTAGCCATACTCTTTAATTCTGAATACCATGTTATCTTCATAAAATGGCTGCGCCCATAAAATCTAAGAAATCTATATGCAATGAGATTTTTAACATTTATTTTTCTACAACATACAGTTTCAAAATCTGAGATTTTAATTTTGTGCATACATGTAGCTTCAGATTGTGACTGATTTTAGAAGTAATTTCAACTACATGTTTTGATATGATTTGACATTGCTATAAGTGATCAATATTTTTATTTTTATTTCTTTTTGCAAATCCTAATTTTCACTTTGACCAGAGACATAAATTATTGTATAATATGTCTCTGCGTTTTTAAACGATAATATGTATATCAAATATTGTTACTGTTATCTTATTTAACTTTAATATGAGTAATAATTTGATCATCTTTTATGTTGACAATGCACATTTTCGTAGTACTTTTCAGAAGTTAATATTAAAATTCACTCTATACAAAGAACCGACAAAATAACAATTAAAGTTCACTATATTGTTTGCGGCGGCAAAACAGCCATTGGTTTAGAAATATGTTATTTTGCCGGCTTTAATTAAGATATTTTGATAAGAGCCGGCAAAATAGCATATTTTCTCTATTGGCGGTGCCGGCAACATAGCCACTGCCTTTAACTATCTCGATTGGATCAATCCGATAATCCACTGGTACCAATGTAAGAATCTATATTTATTAGCCATGAAAAGAATTTGATAAATACTTTCGATAGATGCATTATTATTGAATTGGTAATCAATTATGGGTACCTGATGGTATGGTGAGCTGTCGGACGAGATCCCGGTTCAGCAATGAATTCAACAGGGCACAGAACATTCGACCTCTCTATATAAATGCTATATATATGGTAGTGCAATTCTGGGCGGCATTTCTAACAGTAGGTAATGTAGCATACGCTGGCTTCACGAACATTGCTATTTTGACGAACACGTGACAAGACTGATCAGCAAAGGATATTTGACGTTATGCATCATCACACACAAAAAAGGAACGTTTAAAGAAAATTGCTGAAATGTGAGGTCATGTACGAGAAGTTCTAGTATGCTATAATAAGAAAACGAGCATGGAACAGAAATTCAACTAGCGACGACGTATCTAAATCAGATTCTACAGAAATAGGATAATTAAGGTAGAAATACACAGTTAGGTTGAAACCTTACGGATCGATCATATACATGTAGGGATTGTAAGGAGATGGTCCACATGTAAGAAAGGTATTTTTAGCAGTCGTTGCTCATAATGTATGCAGAATATATCTAGTCACAACACCTACGAGTAAAGATATTATCAGGAAAATATGCAGAAGAAAATAATTAGACAATTGCAATATACAAATTAGGAGATGTGGTATGATTGGCAATACAGCTATCTGTTATAGACCAAAGGACGAAGATATGAAGAATGCTGCAACTACAGCGATTTGTGTATTGTTAGGAGCAATACTGATAGAGATAGTCGTCGAAAGAATTTGTGTGCTGTCCTATATTTCCTTTATCCATGTCTAATGTAATAATTATGTTTGTATTGTGCCTGCATATTGAACAGATAAATCATGTTCAGGTGTGTACTTAAGTCTTTTGAAAAATATCCCGTCTAGAGTCTAGAGAAAGTAACATTTTCTGTTCAGAGCTGCTATGCATTCCGGCTTAGTTCAAGTATCAAAGTTGCAGTTTTTCGTTTGTGTGTCGCTGACAGTAAATTCCACGGTGAATATATTTTACTGATGGCAAACATATTTGGCAGTGTCGATCATTGCACTAACAAGTTTAGGGAAATCCGCGTACATTTCTGTTAAAAAAACATAAGGGCAACAAAAGCGTTTTCAATTTGTAGGCATGAACTTTAAACGTCGAAAACATTAGTGATGTTTAACATCATTGAAATTTTTTCACATAGTTGAGGGTTGTGATATGGAGTAAATACATAGTAAGTTGGAGGTGGTATGCCGAAGAGAAAGGTCGAGTGTAAAACAATGAGCGTTTTAACATCGTTTGAATATAAAACAAAAATATTTAAGGTGAAGAAGTAGGAGGTTCGATTTCATAACTTTGAATACGTTTGGCATGGAAACCAATGAAGCAGAATTACCCTTTCTTGATATTGGTATAAAGAAATCCGGTTCTAAAATAATAACCGACATGCTTTACAAGAAGACCGATACTCGCCAATATCTGAACTTTCACTCCTGTCGACCGTCCCATACAAAACAAAACATACGGTATTGCATGACAAGAAGAATGTGCGATTGTTATACAAATGAACAACTTTGGAAACAAACACTACAAGAACTTTAAAACTTTCTAACACAACAGGTGTAACAGTTAAGCATCATTGAAAACGGCTTCTATAAATCTAACAACTTACAGTAAATGAACTCTGAACACCAGAAGAAAGTCGGGGATAATACAGAACGAATACCGTTTGTATCTACTCATGACCCGAAAATGCCAAACTTATTCATCATTATGAAATCAAATCTTCTTCTTCACCAAAGTGACAGGATGAAAGAAATGATAAAAAAAAAATACCTTCATTTAAAGCCGTCTTCAGCCGAAGAATTTGAAAAGGCACTTGTCTTTTTATTTTTTGGTCATGGCGTTGTCGGTTTGTTTTCGATCTGTGAGTTTGACTGTCCCTCTGGTATCTTTCGCCCCTCTTTTGACAATAGTTAAATTTAATTCGAACCACGAGGAATTTTCAGTTAAAACTTGTGACACTAGATGCGGTGTACGTTCCTAAGAATATGACTACCTTGAAGCCGGCAGTATAAAATATTTCCACACTGAACAGACATTCATAGTAGTGTAAAAATGACATGTTAATCAATAGATTTAATATACTGTATTACATTTCTTAAAGATGCTCCGTAATGTGTTTATAGACTATGTGTTACATTACTTTAAAGTTATATCGTTTCAAAGACTGGGCAGCAGTTGATTTTCTGGCTTCGGTCTCTTTTTTCAATCGGTGGCTGCAATGTTGGCTTGTCGCCAGTCGTCCGGAACTTTTATGTGAGAAATGGTGCAAGTTCGACATGAGTCTTGTTTATGATTCTTGTTTGTAACTCGCCTAGATCCAATCTTATTTAAATTCTGATCTATATCAAATCACGTGCTCGTATATATAGGTATAACGAAATCAGAGAACTATATTTTAATTAGATTGGCCTAGATTATTTGTGTTTGTCCTATCTGTGGTTTTTCAGTTATTATTAAGTTTTCTTTATTTTCTCTCTCACTGGAGCTTTTTATTAGCAGTGATATACCCATTGAATCTTTCTTTTTTACATTTAATAAATATCAAAATTTTCTTACCAAGGGTGGGTTTGATGTCTTCTTGGTTATATTGTTGAGTAAATACCGAAAGTAGTTATCAAAACCCTAATGTGTTGTCTTCTTGACCAAAGATATTTTAATAGCATAGTTCCCCAAGTGGTCATTTGATGAGGGACTTTCCGTTTTGAATTTTCTTTGGATTTCGGTATTTTTGTTATTTTACATTTTAATACGATCCGGCACAAAACAAACGGCAATAAATCACTTAGGTAAGTTTTGAAAAGTGTGAGGACTAAAAGGATAGTATTTTAGATTTAACCTCATGCCACTTGAATTGATTATTAAGATACAATGTATGGATAGGGTCAAACATTTTATTGTGCAACAAAAACGTATATGTAAACCGTCAAGAAAAGTTGTTATACGGCCTCTATAATGTAAAAAATAAATCATGGCATCTTTCTAAAAAGGCATGGGTTTTGCAAATTTGACCTATTAATTTTTTGGCGGTCCTTTAGATTTGTATGCTGTTAAACGTTTATGTTTGGCTTTTCTAAATTTTGGTAATGACTACATAATGAATATAAAAAGAAGATTTGGTATGATTGCCAATGAGAGAACTCTCCACAAGAGACCAAATGACACAGAAATTAACAACTATAGGTCACCGTTCGGCCTTCAACAATGAGCAAAGCCCATACCGCGTAATCAGCTATAAAAGGTCCCGAAATGACAAATGTAAAACAATTCAAATGAGAAACTAACGGTCTTATTTATGTACAAAATAATGAACGAAAAACAAATATGATATACAGCAACAAACGACAACCACTGAATTACCTGAGGCTCCTGACTTTGGACAGACACATACAGAATGTGGTGGGGTTAAACTAGTTTGAAGGCGCCAACCCTCCCCATATCTGGGACAGTGGTGTAACAGGACAACATAAGAACAAACTATAAAAATCAGTTGAAAAGGGCTTAACTCATCAGATGGATACAAATAGAAATACATCTAACAAAAACACAGAGTGGACGTGGACGGGTCCTTATACATCCCCACTACAAAAAGACACTAAGTACAGATCTGAGAGTACTCGCAGTTACTGACAGCTAGTTCAAAGCCAATAACAACTAGTTTATTCAAGACACACATGTTGTACACGATGAAATGAAATTGTAATTTTCTATTCTGACAGGACGTGGTGCGTATCAATACATTCTGTACTACCAAGTGGACTCCTTCAGCATTGGTAGGAAGTCTATACTTAAGTGTATTGCTATATCCCTGCTACCCTGGTTTTCGGACGCCTATATAATTATGTTATTTTGTACTTGACAATCAATGTAGGTTAAAATTGCCAGAACAAATGAAACATTTTATTTTATTTGGAGTAAATGTTTAATCAAAACAACATGTTTTCTGCAATATGTTACATAGCATTACTAATCTTAGATAGGTTTCTTAATTTTAAGAACCTTATGACATATTAAATAATTTCAGCAATCGGAATATGTCAGTTCAAACAGATTTTGCTGTTCCAATTTAACACTTCCAATGTAAAGTGTTCCCGACTTTGAGAATGCTAGATAACACGGCGATCCTATTCCAATTGATGTAGTATTGAAACGATAAACGCATTTTCCGTCGCTATCTAAAATATGTAACATGGCACTGAGAGCATCATTAACAATGAAATTATTCGCTTTTGTAGCAACAATTCCACCGAGCTGTCTTGTCTTCGTATCAGGTTGGCCATCATAGACATTTAGGATATTTCCATTTGGTGATAAAATGACAACCCGACCATTGCCGCCATCGGAAAACCAATCGACTATACCGACGTTTCCTTTATTGTTGCTAGTGATATACCTTGGGTATGTAAACAATGGTTTATTTCCTCTATCAAATTCCCATATAGTTTGTATTTCACCATCCAGATTCATCACAATTAGTACTTTACTGCCGCTAGGTGCGTACCGCATTCCTTTGGATCTAGCTCCTAAAATAAGATCATTTTTCTCCGTCAAATGGACTGCGGTAATAATTTGATCAAAAGCGGAATAGATAGATTCGGTCAGTTTGGCTGTTTTAGGGTTTACAACTTTCAACACTGAATCACCAGTTGCCACAAGAAGATCACCTGATGGAACTACTACCATACTGAACACGACAATGTGAATGTTAACTAATACCGACACATCTTCTTCGCCCGGAATTACCATCTGCAATATACTATTTCTAGAGTCGGTTATCCATATTGGTTTATCGTTACACGTAACAATGACGTGGATAGAATGTAAATCGGTCTTCAGTTTTTTTACCACTTTCAGTATGACGTTGGAAGTTTTTGGATGTGCATTGGCGTATGTCTGGAGTGTCCCCAAATTAACGTCTTTTATTGAAGCCGGCACAAAATTAGAGATATTGTAGCTATTCTCGGTACGTTTCGGAAGTAACTGTGTATTTGACTCGAGCTCGTTTTCAAGTATCTGAATGCAATTGTTAAATTTTAGAGCGTTTGCTGTTATCATTAATTTGTCATTCAAAGATACTTTCGCTCTTACAAGCTGACTTTTTTCACTGTCGACGGATACATTAATTGTTTCCAGTTCTGTATCTAATTTTTCGAAAAGCTCCTCTGCACGTCGATTAACAGCTTTAATTAATGTTTCTTTATCTACCGTTATTGCTTGTTTGGTGTCTTTGTGTTTTGAACGTCTATCAGACACTATTTCTGCAAGATCTTTCTCCCTTAATTCCAGTTCTTCCAACATACGCTTCATCCTTTCTTGTCTATCGTTCAAATGTTTGATTTTCAAATCATACGCTTCGTTTATATTTTGTAGTTTATGACCGTTGTGGACATCGGTTATGCATGTAGGACACACAACCTTGCTGCAGTCTTTGCAATAAAGACAGCATATTTGAAGTTGATGTGTGTTGCATTTGATATTACTTACTTTTATTTTTTCATTTCCTTTATTTTCCTTCTTACCAATGTCCTTGATATTTATTATATGGTGATCTTCAGAAGTTTTCACTTTCGAATGTATATTTTCTCGACAATTTCCACACATCAAAAGATCACAGTCTTCGCATTTCCAAGTGATTTTCTTATTTGGAATTTCACATAACTGACATGTTATTTGAATTTGTCCCTTTCTTAATGACTCTGAATACGCCATGTTAAATTTGAATATATCTTCCTGGTAAATATATTCACATTCTAACGTAGTACAATTATTATATACATATAATTAACATAAGGAAGATAAACTGTACAACAGGAAATCATCGAACCGAGTAAAAATATACTTTATATTTAGATGTACTATTTGAATATAATTAACATTCCTATTTAAGTAAGTTGCATTAGTTTGATATATTTATATTATGTAAGATAAAATACGTGTAACCACAGTAAGAGTTCAGGAGTTTTGTGATATGAAACGGGGGGAGGGGGGTTAATGTTTTGTTTCTTCAGAATTTACCAACAATTGCCTAACTTTCCAAAATATAAGAGCTGTTAACCGTCCGGTAACGGACCAAATATTAGATCCAAGGTCTGGCAAATTTTCTGGGTCGGACTCAGTGCTAATAACTTTAAATTTCATAATATTTTTTTTAAATCATTATGCGACAGTATTTTGTCAATATAAGTTTGACTCCTTTCTTTTAGAAATGCATGCTATCAGAGACATAGATCTATAATACAAGAGATTCGCAACTCGGCGAAATCCCGTAATAACACGCGGCCACTAGTTAAACCTCGCGAGATCTCCTTAGGTAATAAAGTCATTAATAAAAGTATTAAAAGTACTCGAAGTAAGGACGAGTGTTTAAGCATAACATAAACTGTTTCAGTGTTAAATTTATCATAATTAATTAAATATAATTTGAGTACATATATAATTATTTATTTTAATGTAATTTTGATTTTAGATTTGTATTATTGAAAAAGAGACATAATTTGATATTGTATAAAAAAAAACTGATATTAAATAATTAACACTTGATAAATTGTGTCAGAGTTCATTTTATTTGATAGTTACATAATGGGTTTCTATTGAATATACACCTGTCTCGGAGACATAATTTCACAGTGTGACATGTATATTAGGTTTGAATTATTCGATGACCAGGTAAATCACGAACATGTTATAAATAATGAGTTTTAATTGACACCTTGTAAACAAGAAGTTGTCACACCACAGGTGTCCACACTATTTCCAAAAATACAAGTCACAAAATGTATAATTAATTAATATGGAAAAAAACTTAATTTATTTGTTAATTAATGGTTAATCATGATAGGCTTTGTTTTTTATTCTTGATATTTATAAATTATTAAAATTTTATTTATTTTCATATTCCTCATTTATTGGGCTTTCAGTGAGTTTTTTTTCTGTAGGATTGTCGGTAAATGTTTGATTTCTAAGTGTTGTTTGACAGTTTTATCATATAGGCTTGCAATGAGTTTTTTTTTTTAAATGATTGTCGGTAAATTTATGGTTTCTTCATGTTCGAAGTGTGTATTGAGAATTAATATTTAAGAAAATTACAATTAATTTCTCATTTGAATAAAGCTTCATTCATGTGCACGCAATATGGAAAATTCCGATTTTATTTCGTGGTATGACAATCTTAATTTCGTGGGATGACAATCTTAATAGTTACGACTTAGATATACTCCTAGTTGAATAAACTGATAACGAACTCTTTGTTGATAGTGAAAAGGACGAAAACATAAGCGAGAGACCCACCAACAAAAACAATTGACAAAACTGCATACATAGATGGATATAAGCGTTTGGAGTTGGACATATAAAAAGTCTACAAAAAATCTATAAAAAAACACAGGTCATACATCAAAGCAACACGGAAGACACTATTTCAAAAGTATTTTATAACCTTGTTTCCACGAGACAATCATTTGTAGTGGTTTTTGTCTTTTAATCATTTGTAGCGGTTTTTGTCTTTTTATTCTGGGGTAAAGAGATGGCAATTTAAAAGTAAGATTGTTTATGTGTATACATATACAAATCCTTGGTGTAAATAAAATCTTTTATTATCAAATATATATATATATCTTTTGCAGTCACCATTGAAATGTCCTCAATACGATTTTAATTTAAAAATGAATTAGGTTCATGTTTTGAATGAGAAGCGTAGTCTGAAACGACAACAGATGCATATGAAGCTCATTCATAATATTACGACCAGCAGAAGGTTTCCTTTACTAGGAAAATTTTACTCCTTTTGTAAATTTACTGCATTCGTTCATCTTTGGCACCCTAAAAAGAAGAAAAAAACAATGACTTCAGAATAGGAGAAAATAAACAACTTTGCTATAAACAGAATGAAAAATGAATAAAATGTCTAACAAAATGCAGGCTATAAATTTCATAGTGCACAAAAAAGAAGGACTGATTTAAGGAAATTTGTCCATGAACAATTTCAATATTTAGCCAGTTTAATAAAAAATTTCGGGTATCAATCAGAAAAAATCGCCACATTGTTGGATCAAATTTTACGAAAATAGTCTTATTTTCACGAAACAACATTTGGGAGTACTATTGGCCCATAAAATTATATATTTATTAGCATATTTTCAAGTTTTAAGAAAAAAATTGGGAGATCAAATGGTTTCTACGGCAATAGGTGAAGTAAAATGGGCCGAGTTTTAACTTTGTTTGTATTTGATTAATCTCATCATTAGAACACATTTTATCAATAACAAATTATTAGAATTAGTTTTTTGTAACTTTTAAATATACTTGCATGCTTTAGCTGTGAAAGGTATCGGCATTATCCATTAGAAAATCGTGAGGCGTAGAATCTTTTATACAACACAACGGGTTATTACCCATAAATCCATCGGATTAATCGGCTTTCCGGTGGCCACGTCATTTCATTGGCTGTTATATAGACTCTACTAGAGTTGCGAATCTCTTGTATTATATGTCTCTGTATTATATGTCTCTGATGCTATCAATTTACATCACTTAATTAAAAGTCCCCCGAACTCTTTGGCTTGTGAGTTACCATATACTTAAACGCAATTACATAACACTATCAAAAGACGTTGTCTATTTACTAGTATTCAGCTACATAATTGTGCAAAGATGACAAACATTTTGTTATATTACGTACATGACTCTGGGAATATATACGGTCGCTGGTTTTATGAGTGATACAGTGCTGTTAGTCCGCAATTTGGTTTTTAAACGAAAAGTCTTGCTTTTTGTCAGCAACTTTTACTTTTGCTTTTTGTCCGTCGTTTTTTTTTTTTTTTTTTTTTTTTGTTAGATTTGCTTTTTGTCCGCAACTTTTGCCTTTTATCTATTGCCCTATGTCCGTTGCTATTTGTCCGGAAATTTAGCTTTCTGTCCAAAACATGAGTAAGCATTATATTTGTCAAGATATATTTATACCGAGCATTAACGAGGTGTAAAATGTTGACAAATATAATGCCTCATGACGCATGTTATCCTATCCTATCCTATCATTATCCTATCGACATTTCATACATTCAGACCAAACAAATCTGTGTGTCAACAGTTTATTTTCACAAATGGGACTAATGAAGCATTTCTATTTTGATTCTTTATTCTCTAAGTTTTGTACTGTGTTGAAGCTAGTTACACATATATTGCCCTTGATTTTACCGATTATCTTTATAATATAGGTCTAAAAGTTAGCTATACTAATAACATGTGCACAACATACAGGTTATTGGGTAATTGTAAGAGATAACTGAAGATAAGCAAGGTTTTGACATGCACAAAGGAATGTGAGATTCGAATGTTGGAAATAACACAAATTTAAACATGGTTTTAGCTTTAACAATTCTTCTTCTTGGTGCTGTATCTCACGCAGCAGTTCTTAGAGGTATTTATCTTCCTGTTTTCTTAAATAAATTTGCATAATTTTCATATAGTATGTTTTAAAGCCAAACGATTTACTCACCATTAACAAATGTAGTATTACACATGCACAATCATCTCAAACATTAAAATAAACTTTTTCAAACAACAATATGTCGTGTCTAAATTAATGTTTGTTTACAAAGTTTAGATAATCCTTTGTTTGAGATTTTTTTTATTTCATTGTCTCGCTTGCAACGAAAATCGCGACGAGGCATATTGATTATAGGTCGTAAGCAACACTTAGGTTCAGTCTGTGCTTAAAGCTTTTTAGACATAAATTATGATTATTTGTCATTACTACATAAATCTTTTAGAAACTTATACAGAAGCTTTATCGTGACCAATAGGCGGCATCCATAGCAATTTTTTGTTTATCTATGTGTATTTTTCGTATTTTATTGAGAAATGAACTTACACATGTAGTAGTTTTTTGCAACCAGTGAATAACAGGGAAAATTGAATGTTTCATGTATGATAAATTTTAAAACTTTATTTATTTTCATACCATGCAAAAATGCATAAGAATATTTACTAATAAAAAAGTTATCCCACAAAAAAAAAAGAAAAAAAGGAAGAGGATCCATGCCCCAAACGACTGTCATCAATGTTATAGTAAAAGATCATAAAAGTATAAATGCAAAAAATTAAAAAAGTATTTCACTAGTCGGACACTTTTTTTATATGTTCTGCGCGACAAGGAATCTCGGCTTTACTCAGATTATATATTGGTCATATTTTTAGATATGAAATTCTGGAAATTTTATATCATTATATAGCATAATTTAGACAAAAGACGAGTTTAATTTAAAACTGTGGACCTAATAAAAATGAAAATTCGTATCGGGTTCCACTGAACTAAGTCTCTTGCCTGCGATTGCTGCTGTCGGTGTAAAAATGTAATGTTGACTGCCAGAAAAAACAAATTTCTTCAGACGATATTTCTTTAAAATGAACTAGTTTCTGTCCAGTAAAAACCTCAATTAATAAGAACGTCTTCATGTATCAATAAAATACAGAAAATGAAGAAAACAATATGTTTGAAAACATTTCTTCTGATATGATCTCTTAACAACGATAACGCATCTGTCAAAATTTTATAAAATTATATGAAGGTTTGACAAATATTTTATCTAAAAAAACGGTAATCCCAGACTTATCTAAATGTAAACTACAAAACTACAAAACTACAAACTACAAAAGTCCACTTATCAGTCAAATACTGGAAACTAAAGATCAAAAATATTTTTGAATTTATAAATAAATTAAATTTATAGATTAAAGATGCTTCTGTCCCAGTTTCGTAAATTTATATGAAGGTTTGACAAAGTTATTGATGTCTAAAAAAAATGAAGCACAGACTAAACCTAAATGTTGACAACGACGACGACGGAATGTAGGATCGCTTTTTTCTCTCGCTTCCTTGACTTCCTTCGCAGGCGAGACAATAAGTATGTATACATTCATTCGAAAGAGAATATTTCATAAAAGATTAAACAGGTCTGGTGTCGTGTGTCGTTGAGCGTTATTTTCAAACACGTGTATGGTATGAAATATTATTTAAAGAAATTGCCCTAAACTTAGTGTTTTTATATATAAATGTAGAAATCCCCATAATGACAAACGCATTCCACTTGCTGCAATCGACTAGTACTTTCTAGACTACTTAGGTAGTTAAAACGAACTTGTAGAAATTGGCCGCGCCTCTAACAATATTTTGATTATCTGTATACATACATATATCGGTCTCGCTCCTTTTGATGTTCGTGCGAAACTCTCAAATTTTATTTTTGTCTCGCCTTGACTGAGTTGAAAAAACGAGACAGGTCAGTTTAAGGGAACCACTTATGATAAGTCAATGATATTTGATATGAATTTGTATAAGCATTGACACGTCTTATTTCGCTGAAAATTATTTGGCTATGTACCTTCAGTGGTGGTTCATTAACTTTGAATATTTTGCATATTATGTGACTGATTTAAAATACTTTTTGACTTTCGAATTCAATGGGCCAAAAAATGTGGTCTGATCATAACTTCTCCCTTTTTATCTTATCGTTTTGTACTTAAACTTTTCAGAAATAGGGATAGGACTTTAAAGTCATGTGGCTTATCTATGCACGTACTTATAATGCAGTATGACAATACACAAGCATGTTTGATTTATGGCATAGAGATTTCTAACATTAACGAATCAAGAACACGCGAATGAAATTCACCAAATACAAATTATAGGCTATATTAATGGATCAGTAGGTTACCGATTTTCAAGTCTCATAAATCGTTTGAGAAGATACAAATCGAGGTAACAAATAAACACTGCGGGGTGGCATGAACTCCAAAAGGAGCAAGACAAGCTTTCGACAGAGTAAGCGTATCCTGCTATTCATGCATCAGTCTTCATGTGAATCCATGCGTCACTCTTCATGTGAATCCATGCGTCACTCTTCATGTGAATCCATGCTCAGTCAAAAGGCCATTATCGAGAATAGACCGATCGGGCACAAACGGTAAAATCACAGATCAAATGTAATGTAATGACCGCGAACACATGGATAACAATAGTCGTAAGATTTGTCACTAAAACAAACAAACTCTTCATTGAAAAATTGGATTTTGATATCAATATAGTACACAAAGTTACCAAGCAATGCTTCAAGTATTGTATTAACCGGCGGATCAATGGTCTTAGAGCATTATTTTACTTATATAGGGATATTGACTAAGCACGTAAAACATCTATATTCAAACTAAAAAGTAAATCTATAATGATTTATAAGGAATATAAATTGTGCATAAGTCTCACCAACAAAGTATGAAATCCAAAATTTAAAACTGACTTAGAAGAATACATACATAAGGATCTTTAACAGTAAAAGAGTCATAAGGAGCTTCATATAAGTAACAAAAAAATTCACCAGCCTTTCAATCTTTGACCTTTTTCAAAATTTTCTTAATGAGTTTTACGGTTGAACTTTCGTATATCATTGCATGGATATGGGTCATTATCAAAAAAACATGCAAAACTATGTTATTTGGTCTTTTCAAGTCAAAAGACATGAAACTATATCAAAATGTATCAAAATAACTATTGCATATGAAAGATATGAATGTTTTGTGATACACTATACACAGTTTACAGTATGAAATGTTATAAAAACATTCTTAATTTTTTCTCAAACCCTTGGATATAGCCAGAATCAACTGTAATTTTTTACTATAAATCCCTTCAAACCTGAAATAGGGCTATTATTCATTTGTTATCAGAAATTATCACTTTTTATTGCATTTGATACATACAAACATTTTTTTTAATGATTTGGAAGGTGTATGTTGGTTTTATAATAAAAAATTTAACCAAAAGGAAAAGCCTCATTTTTTAAGTCAATGGTGTAACCAAAAGACAAATTGGTAGGGTAAGAGTTATCTTTCTCAATATTTCAGCATTTACAATAGTTTCTCCCTTAGCAATGTTACCTGCATGTTATGCAAAAGAAAACAAACATTTATGTTGAAAATTTAATAAAAAAATATTAAAAGTAAGTACAAGCTATATCGTAATTGAAAATAGTGTCCATGGTGTACCCTTATAAAAATTTCTGAACTTTGAATTATGAAATATATTGATTGTAGAAACATGCATCAGGAACACCATATAAAATAGGGGAATGGAGCCCTTATTTTGTAACTAAATCTTAAAATACACCTGAAAATCAATGGTGTTACTGTCAATGGTGAGACCATTTTAATGAAATAACACCATTGACCAGCTTAGTAACACCAATGAATATATTATGACAATCAGCATTTTTTGGTGTTTCTTTCATGTATAACAAGCGAAACATCATATTATTTATAACAAACAATACTTATTTAACAATGTTTTAAGAATATCATGTATTACATATACAAAGTTTTCAAAAAACTGGTGTATTCTGGTAACACCAATGACACTATTTAGTAACACTACTGACATTTTTAGTTATTGATATTATACAACAAATGGAAGTTTTTAACGACCTTGACTGGCTAATTTTGATATTATGTTATATAATTTGAGATTTTTAAGCCTAAGAATTATTTTTTCTTCTTTTTCTTTTGCTCGGTGTTCTCTGTTTTGTGTTCAGTACTTAATAAAAGTAAAATTTGAAATGTGTTGTCAATGGTGATATACTTTTGTGTCATTGGAGTTACTGAAGAGTCAGTGGTGTTACTATATAAAAATGCGATACTTTTTAATTTTTATTCATAAATGAAAGTGTTTTTAGGTTGTATACGAAGGATTAAGCATATTCTTATCATTTCATCTTATACATTATACATATATTCAATTTAAGTGTATTTTTTAGTATTTACAACAGCCATAATTAGGACAGCCAACTTTTTTACGACAATGTATTCTGAAATTTATGTTTAAAAAGAATGTATAGCTAGAGGAATAATGTCAATAAGTAGTAATTTAAACCTTAACAACAAAATGAAACAGTTGTTTGATGTTTAACAATAATATTTAGTACCTAAATGCATGTTTTAAATTGGTAACACCATTGACACGATTCTATCAAAGGATGACCTAAAATTGTTAAAATTGAAGGAACCCTTCATTTTTTCCCATTGCATATTTCTGAAAATAGTTGCTACCATACTATAGAATAGAGGGACACATTTAAATGTTTTAAACAATGACACTGTTTTTCAAAATATTACTTCATCGAAATTTGCATGTTTTTTGATAATGACCCATATATGATTCCATTTCAGGTGAAAAAAGTTGTAACGGGGGCTTACAACTTTTTCTAACCTGGAAACTGAATCATACCCACAAATGACAAAAGAGGCCGTATTACTTTTAATTTATGTACTCTCCATCCAGTAGCTAATCTACTCAAACCTTAATGTAGCTTTTATATGTTATATTATATTGATGCTAATAGATTCGTTACTAACCTTCAGTTGAATAGCATGACAGTAGTATTGTCAATTATGTCATCCTCCATAACATTTTATCGACACCAGTTACTTTAGAATCTACTTTGAGCTCTCCAGATTAGTAATTAATTGTCTCTATTCTTCAATTACTTTTATTCAATTTCAGAAAATAGAGCAATTTGTATTGGTAAGTTATTTTAAGTTTTCAATTCAAATCATAAAATGTACATGTATCACGGAGTTCCTTATTCTAAATTACTAGTAAACGCGATTTTTCTCACATCACACCTCAAATAATTCTTTCTCACAGCACATCTCAGCTTTATATTCTATGTGGTAGATGGGGTTAAAAAACCTGGAATACATTCTGCACTTTTTACAATACATGTACCAATGTGACCAACTAACAACACCATGGGCTCCACAAATAAAAATACGACGAAAAAACAAACACTACACATAAATGTCTTTCTCGGTCTTCAATTTAATATTTTTAACTAATAAAAAGGTAGTAAAAACTTTTAAAGAATAATATAAACTCAAAACAGTATGTGAATGAGAACAATGAAAGAATCTCCTGTTTTGAATGTACCACCCGTCATACAATTCCAATGTTATATCAGGCAACAAATTCATCGAATCAATAAGGATTCGAGGTATTGTGTTGCTATTTTATATTTCCACTGGACAATAACAGGAATATATTATTTATTATATTATGAAATTTTCGAATAAATGCTGATTTACTTTTGTTTTTAATTTAAAGTGTACCATGATAATGTGTAATGTAAGTTTTTGAAATAAAACAACGTCAGATTCACTCGCATAGTATTATAACTTTTGTACCATGCAATGTGCATATAGTACCCATAGGATAGTATTTTGATACCAACAATATCGGAATGCTCTTTCAGTTGGAACCATTATTCAATTCAAAAAGCATAAAAGGAGATAGCAAGCTGTAAAATAACAAAAATACTTTTTTTTCCATATGAAATAGAAAGTCATTTTAAGTTATTTCACGAACAGTGATATTTTTTTTCAGATACCTGGTCTAACATTCCAGATCCTTGTCTAAACAACCCAAACAAAACCATATATTTCCCTCACCCTGCGGATGTAAGGAAATTCATACAGTGTGACCTTCTTGGCAGAATGTATATTATTCAGTGCCCTAGGGGAGAAAAATACGACTTCACTACATCATCTTGTGCAGGAAATGCTTCTACACCGACTGGCGCAACGCCACTGCCAGGTACAACGACGGTACAAGTAACCAATTTACAAACACCTGCACAAACTACTTCGCCAACACCTGCACAAACCTATTCAGCAACACCTGCACAAACCAATTCACCAACACCTGCACAATCAAATTCACCAACACCTGCACAAGTAACCACACAACCAACAACTGTACAAGTCACCACTTCACCTACGCCTGCTCAAAGAATCACAACCACTTCAGCAGCTTCGGCAACGCTATCAAAAAATCCTTGCACGAATGCTAACTTTGCCCAAGGGCTCAATTATTTCGCACACCCAACTGATCGTAATAAGTTCATTGAGTGCGACTTGACTGGGAATGCTATAGTAATGTCATGTGATCCAGGATTAGTATGGGACCAACAACGAAGAGCATGCGGATTTAATATGCAACCAGGACGGTTTCAAATTCCAACAGGTACACCAGTTCAAACTTCAACAGTTGCTGTAAAGATAACTACACCAGCGAAGAATCCATGCACTCCAGATGCTATCAGCCATAACCAGCTTTTCCACCCTCATCCTGATCCACATAAATTTTACCAGTGTGATATGGCAGGAAATGTCCAGACGTATGATTGTCCCCCAAGTCTTGTATGGAATGGTGTGGCGAAGACATGCACTGCTTCTTACTTATCACTTCCAGCGATTGGTTAAAAAAGAAAATTAAAAACAAAAAATATAATTTATCTGTACAACGTCCTTTTTATTCCAAATGACACAGAGGGCCAATGTGAGCTGTTGTCATCATTTGCCTTCGGGGTCCGTTGTTTGTTGTCTTAGGATTCTGGAATCACCAAGCCAATTCATATCATTAGTAAGATGTCTAATACATTTTTTAATTCCTCTGCCCTACTAACATGAGCGACAAGACAAAACAATACAATGCAAACTGACGACGACGACGACGACGATGATGATGATGACGATGATGACGATGATGACGACGACGATGATGATGACGACGACGATGACGACGATGATGATGATGACGACGACGATGACGATGATGATGATGATGACGATGATGATGATGACGACGACGACGATGATGATGATGATGACAACGATGATGACGATGACGATGATGATGATGATGATGACGATGATGATGATGACGATGATGACGACGACGATGATGATGATGATGACGATGACGATGATGATGACGACGATCATGACGACGATGACGATGATGATGACGATGATGACGATGACGACGATGACGATGATGATGATGATGATGATGATGATGATGATGATGATAACGATGACGATGACGATGACGATGATGATGATGATGGCTGCTTAAAGTCCAGCGGCTAATATATTTGCATATTCAGGACGAGAACATGTTGATGTAATATGAATATAGCTGAGCCGGATATTTAACGTGCTAGTTCACAAGGTAACAGTCCGCAGGAAGACATGTCATCTTACCCGGACACATTATTCTGACTCCGAGCCGACCAGTGTTTGCTCTTACTCCTTAATGACACGTGCTTAGCGAAGCAACACATACCAATTTAAATGTCTTTGGTTTTACCCCGGCCTCGAACCCACGACCTCCTGCACTCGAGGCCCACCCACGAGACCACCGAAGCGATATTTATAATCATGAATTAAAACATGTAAAATAGAAATATGAATTCTGAAGGATAGGTTAAAATGCACAGACTTTCAAAATCTACCAGTTTCTTCCCGAAAGCTTGACTTGGGTATAGAATTATGGTCCTCTCTAGATCTTAAAACCCATGATAAAAGGGACGTGTATTTACTTGTGCGGGATTGTAAATACGCAGCCACGTTCGGTAGGAATGTGGAAGTTATATTCGATAACTCGTGTAGGGAAAGATCCATCATAGCGTCCTGTTATTTAATACCATTTGTATTATAAAGCTTTACTATGTGACACATTTTCAGATCTGTCACTTATCTTCTTCCCTTTCGCCTCATACCCATGTTTAAAATTTTTGTCGCATTATTCCTAGAAACTACAAACCAGAGCTTGATATTTGGTACAAAGCCTCATATTGGTCAGCTGTACCTTGTGACATATTTTTAGACCTGTCATTTATCTAATTCCTGTTTGCTGCATATATGTAAGTTCTTCACATAAAAGAAATTTTCGCCAAATTAAAAAAAAACTACATATCAGAGTTATTTCAAATTTGTTAACAAGCATCATACTGGTAAGGTAAATCTCTGTTTATCTTATTTTGTAGTTGTTTGCTGAACATCATTGTTTGACTCATATGTATCTAATGTTCAAAAGCAGAAACCGGGATATGAAGTAGTGAGCGTTAACACGCAGTACATCTTTTTGTTTTATTTCCTCATATTTTTTTATTGGTGAGCGATTCAGGCACCTGTGAGTTCTAATTTGTCTTACTACCGATCCACTACGTCATATTGTCTTTTCCGTCAGGGTTCATTCAACCTATGCCAACATTTTGAAATTTAGGTATAAAATTGTATGAAAAAATGTTGGCATAGGTTGAATAATTTTTTACAGATTAAGTGTTATCAAAACATAAATTGATTAGGGTCTAATCAATTTACAACCAGTTTAAATTTAGCGTTTAAGTGTATTTTTAATAGTGAAAATGTAGGTTATTGCATGTGTTGATGATCTCTTTTTCATTAGGAATAAATATAATAAAACAATGGAAAATAAGGATTTCTATAATTTTATTAAAGGATTCTATTCATATCAAATATCTAACAGTGTCAATCTCATGAATAAAATACAACAATGATAAAAAAATGTTATGATGCCATCCTTCTAAGTGGTTGTTGGTTCTTGGGCCTACTGTCTCATAATGGTTCCAAAGGTGGCGGTTCGTCTCAACCCAGTATTCAGTAACATAGTCTGTAAACTCTAAAGTGTTGATGTTTGTGTTGGCTCCTTCGATTTCTTCTAATGCATTCAACCAAATATCCTCTACGTGCTGCATTGGTACAAGTGGAAGAACTGCTGCACGTCGAACCAATCTGGTGATGTCATTGTTGTTCTTGTAATGGGTCCGAAGACCAGTATCTTGAGCCTTTCGCCATATACACTGAGTATAGTGAAAGAAGCAACCTTTGCCAGTTATACCAGGAAATACTTGATAAGCTGCGTTACGTACTGCAACTTCATAATCCAAAAATATAGTAGTTGGTTGTAGTTGTAGATCAAAGCGTCGGCATGCTTGTTTGAGTAGTGTCAAGAACCTTGTGTAGATGATTTGGCTTTTACCGGGTAGTAATGCGTAAACCAGTGGGTAGATGGCACCGTCGACGAAAGCATGGAATTAGTCTGAAGACCAGTATCTTGAGCCTTTCGCCATATACACTGAGTATAGTGAAAGAAGCAACCTTTGCCAGTTATACCAGGAAATACTTGATAAGCTGCGTTACGTACTGCAACTTCATAATCCAAGAATATAGTAGTTGGTTGTTGTTGTAGATCAAAGCGTCGGCACGCTTGTTTGAGTAGTGTCAAGAACCTTGTGTAGATGATTTGGCTTTTACCGGGTAGTAATGCGTAAACCAGTGGGTAGATGGTACCGTCGACGAAAGCATGGAATGTATAGAGTTGAAAAAATCCATCTGGACATGTATAAAATGTTCCATCACCATATATGATGTCAGCAGCTGTAAGGTTGGTTAGGTTCTGACGTGTAGTAAACATCATAATTCCATCTTGTACACCATCATCTGCCATTAGAAACTGTTCTCCAACTGTAGTGACTGTCCAGGGTTCTGTTAGGTTGATCTCATTGCGTGTTTTTGGTAGTGCTGGTATGAGTTTTGATCTCTCGTTGTAAAAGCTACCTCTGCAGGATTCAAAAGTTGGCAGATTTTCTACTACCTCTTGTGTTTCGTCATTCCATTCTGTGTTGCGTAATTTAATGACCTCTTGTTCATATATAGTTGGAACTGGTGTAGTCTCCTCTCGGCACCGTTTCTTTATTGTCTGAAGTATCTCATCTACTTTGAGTTTAACTTTGTGGTTGTCATGATTGTGTCCATTTGGTAGTTTGGTAGGTATGTTGTTGCGAGTATTTAATGTAGCTGGGCAGTTGCGTGTAGTACATATCCAGTATACTCTATCATCTCGTCTGGTTTTGACTCTGTACTGGTACCCATTGTGTATTATACTCTGGTTGCCTAGTTTATTGGTAACAAACTGAATATCTAACTGTGCATTTTTTTTCTTTTTTTTTTTTTTTTTAAAGGGGATTGAGCTTATTTCGCCCCTTTAACACAAAGTATAACAAATGGGCTTGGGGCTTATCTCGCCCTTTATTTTAAACTAATTTTAACTTGTATTTGTTTGCAATTGTCACTATTGCTTGCATCCTTTCTTGACTGAATAGAAAGTTCTATTAATAGAATAGGTATAAAGAATAGCAAATATCTAACTGTGCATTTGCCATACTGACTTGTGAATGAATAATTTCCAGAAAACATTTTATTTTATACACTTCTTAGCTTGGAACTCAGCAATATGTCATAAGTGAACTTATTTCACTTTAATTAAACTTAATTATTGTACCAATTTGGTCAATTAATTTTAAATCACTAAGAGTAAGTAGTCCAAGCTGTATCAGTGAGATTATATCATATCAATTATTAAACTTTAACTATTAAGTAATAATTTTATTTGATAGTTATTTTAAGTTTCAGTTGAATTAAATTAAATTAAAATTAAATTTTTTTTGTTAAAGTTTTGTATTGTTTATTGTATAATTCATATTTGTATATCATAATAATTAATAAAAAATTTGCAAGATCAAGTGTTATATTTTATATTTATTTAAAAAAAATTTTTTTTTATCAATTTCATTTTTACTAAATCACAATTTTGTAAATATTTTATTTTTTGTTTCTAACTTTTCAAAGAGTAAAATTGAGTGCTTAAAAATACTTACTGTATTTTACCTGTTATTAATTAATAATTGTTAAAACAACACCTATTGTATTTTGTTTGTAGGCATAGGTTGAATATATTTTTATCAAATGTTGGCAATGGTTGAAGACACCTCCGTCAGAAACACACAGAGGATACATTGTTTGTGTCATGCACCAGTTTTCCTTCAACATTATTCAACTTTGAACAATGCATATTTCATTTCACAGATCGAAGATGTGTACCTTCTATTTAAGACACTTTAAAGAAATTGCACGATTTTTATTTCATGGTTTCCATATAAGGAAATCAGTAATTTTGTCAATGAATACTATATAGGGTACATAGATGATGTCATATGCGTTACTTCCAACAGTTTTCCATCTACACTTTGCCGAATTTGTCCCCAAAATAAAAAAATAGTACCTTCTATCCAAATTAGAATGATTTTAGGTTTCCAACGTGAAGAACTTGTTCATTGATTGTACCTTGTATGTGGGTAACAACAGTTTTCATTCATTACGCTTTAATATTTCAACAGAGATTGCGCACATATGAAGATGTACACCTGTTTTGAAGAGACCGGACATCTTTCTCAGTTTTCCCTTGTTTGAAACTAAGTATTTTTTGGCCATTGGATGCTATAGAAGGTACATAGTTTGTGTCAAGTTCAACTCCAACAGTTCTCCTTCAGCATTCTATTTTTTTACATTGATTGCAAACATATTGATGATGTGCAACTTCTTATTTGGACCGAATT